GAACATAAGCAATAATTTGGCCGTAACATATCTTCAGATACCTTCAAATATCCCCCTTGGAATTTCCTCTACAGAATCAAGAACGTTGGGTCCTGGAAAATGGTGCGTTTTAACCCCCTGCTTTGTTTAGGGGTACCTACCCAGTGTCAACGCTTTCAATTGTATAGAGGACCTTGGGGCCTCTGATTCTATAGAGATTTCATGTTGAATACAGCACTGAGTCCTAGTCAGCAGAAAGCCTTAGCCACTGCGATTCTATAGTTGGATCTGTTCTCTTTGGGTGTATGTCATGTTCTTCAATTCTATAGAGAAGTATTGGCAGAACAAATTTCCCACAACAATTCGTTCATCATCATTGATCATCCTTGTATATAATCGAAGAGGTTGACAGTGAACACTTGGAGCCTTTGAGCTCTATAAAATTGGGAATGCATAAGGTAAGGTAGGCAAGAGCAACTGGAGCATTCAGGTCAGCTGTCAATGAATGACACTTGGGGAGCCTGATTTTATAGAAGGCCAACTAACCCCCCCAACCAAAAAACGGCTCTACGAGAGTGACTTGGGGGCAGCGATTCTAAAGAGATTGTCAACTTGAAAATACCTTGGGGTCTCTGATTCTATAGATGCATTTTCAGAAAGAGGGCCAATGTCTCCAGAATTATCACTATAAAAGTGTCAACACCGTGTGCAGCAGGTTGCAGGTGCGCTTGGGCTATATCACCCGCAAACGCGCTGTGGAAGCAGTCATGCAGCAGGAGAGCGAAAGTCGCCTCCGACGTGAGCAGGCCGAAGTGGTGGCTCAGCTCCAGCCATTGCAAAAGCCATTTTTGCCAGAAGTGGTTGCCCGAGTCGAAGACTGGGCCAAACAGTATTCCATTTTAGATTCTCGGTACAAATTTCTTGTGCTCCGGGCGCCTTCGCGCGCTGGCAAAAGCACCTTGGCAAAATGCCTCCATTTCGTTTTGCCTACGTATATCCAGAAGCCTCCTTTCATTCAAACTGTCCAGGGTGCCACGGCCGCTGAGTTACAACATTACGACAGAGATTCTCACGGCTTTATCCTGTTCGACAATTGCAATTCTATGTCCTTTGTGCTATCTCAGCGGGCCTTATTTCAGGCAAACCCAGACTTTCATCGCTTAGGCCAGTCACAGACGAACATATTCTCATATCAGGTTTATTTATTCAGGGTCCCCATTGTGATCACCATAGATGAATCAACTGACTGGGATGATGACGAACCATGGATTCGCGAGAATCAGCATTTGGTGCAGCTTACCGGCCCGTGTTATCATTTGGAGTAACAGCCTGCATGGGGTAGAGAAAGGCATGGCTTGGGTTAGGTTTGTGAAACCGCCTGCGGGGGAGATTTGGGTCTACAGCTGCTTGAACCCTCAACAAAATGTGAAAATCTGCACATGGTTGTGTAATCGTTAAGATAAAAATCTTACCTGTGTCTTTTGTGCACGATGACGATATCGACGTAATAATTTGTTTGCTGTAGTGAGGCTTCCATCATAAGAACCCTGGCACCCCGACGTAATCGAAATACTTGGCTCCCGACCGTGAAATACGAATGATCCAACAAATATTGCACCAAGCTAGGAATATCTGACGCAAGGAAAGGGCAGTTTCTGCAAAATCCTCCAAAGAAATTAATGCACTGATACCAGTAATGACATCTTAAACATGTGCAAATTCCAAACTAGATCCAAAAACCGCATTGAGGATGCAACCCGAATGCATCAAGTGATCTACAGAACGACACTGAAACAGCCATCGGAAAAACTCTTTAAATCTTGGGACTTCTTGGTTGTAAACAGATCAGGACGTCAAGAGTGCGTCAAGCCTAACAAATCTTAATTGTCCACATATCGATGATGCAACGAACGATCCCAAGTGAAGGGTGAAAAAGAGATGATAGTTCCATTCACGTTGTAAAGCCACGGCTGAACGAAGTACAGGTGCAAACTGAGATCCCATACTGGCTCCCCGACATTGTCGAAATACTTGGCTCTCGACCGTAAAATAGGAATTAGCCAGCAAGTATTGAACAATAGCAGGAATGTGTCTCAATGTAACAGAAAAGTATTGTTTTGAGATAACGTTCCAACTTGTGAATGTGAGCCTGCAGGACAGTGTCTAAACCTTATTCGGTTTTCTGTGCATACGTGTACACGACAAACACAATGACATCAAAATTCCGGAAAGTTGTACTTGATATAAAACCAGCAATGTCTGCTTCGTGCAAGCAATGCGCAGACTCCGCGAAGGACTCCATAGGAAACAATCGACGAATTCCTTCAATAACAGCTCGTACATCAGGAAATTCCAAAATGGACCGAAAGACAGTGTTCAAAATTTCCATCAAAAGAGTAGAAATTGCACTGCCCAATTTCCTAGCCCATGCTGTTGAATAATGCACAATTGGTCGAGCTTTTGCAAAATCGCGGGTAGATTTAGGCAAAATATATCCTTTGCTCAATGTCGAATTGCGAAAACCTAATCCCCAGGAATAAGTTTGTTGAAGAGCGGGGATGACTGGAGGTTCCACACGTGTTGAAGGCGAAGGTGTAGCCTTGTCCCGAGCCAAAGTTGCCGCAGCTGCCTTGGTAGAGTCGTCCTGAGTGGTTCCTGGGTAAGAGGCAGCACAGACATCTTTTTTATCATAGCATGAATTGTTATATCTAGCAAGAATCTACGAAATGAAAGTAGCTACTCCATGGATAGTCGAAAGGTGGGATCGAAAGGCCCACCGAGAGTCTGATCCATGCACGACATCATAGAAATAGGCTAACAATTGGTCTGCATAAACTCCACCTTGTGGGGTCCGAATATGTGCTTGACGTGCAAAAGCACGACCAACAATGCAAATAGGTCGAGCAGTGTTAAGGCCACCAAATTTCTTGGTCTGTTCCAAAATTCTCAGCACATGTTTCCTAGAAAAGGAGGAATCATCATTGAACAAAACTCCCCGAGAATAGAAAGTATTGGGAGTCAGCCAGTCTGGGCTCCGCACATCGCATGATGATGGTCGAACTACCCCTTCTCGCACAGCTGAAGCCATTCCCAATACTGATGTATTGTGACCAAATCCAAAGTACTGAAAAATATCAAAATTGTCTGCACGCCACTGCGGGAGTGCCAAGTGCGCATAGACCGCAATAGGCTCTTGCTTGGAATAATTTCAAATTTCTCAGCCAATGACACATGGTTGCTGTGACGTCCCAAAGCAGTAATCAGAAAACGGAGAGATGTCAAAACTGAATCACGCAACACAGGGTTACGCAGTTGTGCAGAAAATCGAGTCTTCAAGTCAGTCGAAATGTAATCATACCAAAATTGAGTATGATCCACTGCATCTTCATGAATAATGTAGCCACGAGATGAATTGAAATATTCAGCATTAGGTATCCATTGTTGACGTCTTGTATCTTCGATCAGCATTCCATCTTCAAAGGCGTTTTTCACGCGAAATGGATTATCAGCAATTGATTTGTGGATACGGAGCATCTGTTGATACAGAAAAAGAATGTTGATCGTCTTGAATAAGTCATTTGTACCCACTAACAATTCAGATGAAAAGTTTCAGATTGCTTGACATGATGGTAAAGACCATAGCGCGGAATCTGAACTGAGTTTGCAACACTCTGTGGTTCATGAAGAGGATCTGATTGGGGATCAAGACGACGACGTTTGGGTGCCGGACCACTTGAAGCACGCATTGAAGGTCCCGGGCCAGTTGGTAGAACCGCAAATTGCCCCATAGGTCCCGGACTACTTCCAGGTAGGCCATGAAGAGGATCACACAAGGTCCCCGACGATCCCAATGTTGATTGGACAAAAGTGAACGGCTGGGTAAGCAAATTGCCCACACCAGGTACTAAAGAAGACATCGAGGACATGAATGTATTGTATTGAAAAGCCAATGGTAACATCATTTGTTGCATAAAATGCACTTGTTGAGTCTGAATTTATTGCAGCTCAATGATCTGACTTTGCATCGTTGCCATTCGTTCCAATGAACGAGCATGTTCTTGTTGAATACGTAACATTGAAGACATAGAAGATTCAGTAATACGTGAATTGGTCAACTGCTGCGAAACACTATTGAGAATCACTCCCGGAGGAATCGGCACATTCGGGGGAGGTCCCGCTGATTTCGCAAAAGTTCGAACATCCATGGCTCGAAACTACGGTTCTAAAGTGATAAGTAAAATTAGATCATCTCATAAAAACCCAATCACTGAGGATGGGACCACATGTACTGGAAGTAGAGCGCATTCAGAATACTTCGTCATATGAGTACTTCTCCCTTGTGGGTACTTCGCCCATTGGGCACACTTCGCCTTATGGCTTCCAAATTGTGTTGGACGAACTTCAATGTCGGCTCTGACATTTACTTCTTTGTTTGCATGCAATATGCAAAGGGGACTTCAGGATGTTGGCGACATCCCACTCTGCAGCCGGGAAAATGCCCGGTCATAACTTTCATATCCGTCGAAACGGACAGACGGTACTACCAAGTGAGGTAAAGTACCCAAAACACACTGTGGGATATATAGATTCGAGCGTAGTGAGGAGAAGTAAAAGAGCACCACCAATTCCTGAATGAATGGCCTGACATGAATCAAAGGACAAAAGGCACAAATGTCGAAGTTGAAATTAAATTGATTTTGTAAATGAATTTGACTATGAATTCCGGTTCTCAGCTTAGCCGGATGCTATATCAAAGTTACCTAGTTCCGGTTCTCAGCTTAGCCGGTTGCTATCCTCTGATGCAGGTACGCTGGGTTGATCAGACCCAGTATCCCATGATTGTGGTAGCTTCGTTGAGTGCGGTCCCAGAATCATGCCGCACTCCCCTGCCAAATCAATATTTAGACTGCATGTTATTAGCAGTGTACACACACACACATATATATATATATATACATATCATTATATATCAGTCAATACCGCCCCCTCTCCTCACTCCAACCAAATCTCACCCAAGGCTCATGGTACCAAGCATAGTACCCCATCCCACACAGCAACACCATCCATACACATCCAAGGAGGTCGAGTAGGACCACTGCGCGCAGAACGCACGCAGCCACCTTCGCAAAGAACTTCAAGGCAAATGCAGTGAGTTCAATCTGTCTCAGGTGCCAAAGTTTGGCCAAATGCCTTCAGTTGGAAGAAACCTTAAGCACCAAGAATGTGTTGCAACATTTGGGGGCCCTTGCTGGAGAGCACTGGCAAGCCTGCAGCACAAGGATCAGGTGCATCCAATGTTGGATGGCTTTGGCCTCTCAGCGGCACAGTTTTCATGGACTTCTGATGGCTTTTCAAAGATCTACGGTTGATGTTGATATCTATTGAATTGAATCTATTTCTGTAGTCTCAACAGCCCAAGATCCCTGAGATTCCCTGAGTATCCGTGAACAAATCCCCTCACATCCTCTCACCCAACCCCAAAGGCTATACAGTAACATGAATAATCTACATAAATTTGAATGTGTCATCTTGCGTTCCAAGCAACATATTGTGAAGGAGGGCCAACTTGCTTTGGGAAGAATGCGGAGAGGTCACCTGTACGAAGGAGATTGATACAGTAACATACAGTGACCGTGCTTTAAGCACTGAAAACGTTGCCACATGTTGCTACATGTTGCTACAATAGTACGGCGAGACAGACTGTCCAGAGATGTCCAGTCTGAAGCGGCCTGTGATCACAGAGGCTGCTGCAGGCTGCGAGTTACCAATCCCCATTGGGCTGAGCTTCAATAGAACAGGGGTGCCGACGGAGTGCCGACTGCCTACGGAATGAGCAGTCTCCGGCAGTCTCCTTTTTTTGGGCCATAAGCCACAGAGGGAACGCTTCGAGTTGGCATGCTGCGACAAGTTCGACACCAAAACCTTCAGCCCTCGACCGTCAGGTACTATAACCAGAATAAGTCCGTGCTGACTGGGAAGCTTGACTCCCATGACAATTGTAACAACATGCGGTCTCTGTAAAGATTATTAAGGCCAGAACGGCCATACTGTGCATAGTCACTCTTACCTTCTTGAGAATTGTTTACCCCAAGAATGAGCATTCTTTGGATCGCATTCGCAAATAGTACCTCATTTTTGAGCCATATACCCTCTTGAGCTACGAGTACATATTCACACTATCACTAGGCCTAGGCAACTGGGGTAGCTCGACAAGCCAAATGCAAACAAGCCACATCCTCGACTACCCAAAGACCCAGTGACCTGACCACCACGATTGAAGTGAGCCTGCCCAGTGATGTTGGATACGGCCAGCCGATGTATTGCGAGCGACCCATGATCTTGCAAAGATGTAGAAGATGCAATCAGCCGTTGAAATCCCATCTCAGAGGGCTCAAACGCACGCGTTGCTAGGCCGTGGTGATGACAGATTTGCCAAACATCCTGTTCTGGATGCTCAACAACTTTGTGTCGCTCACCCTTGGTATTCCGGGGAACGGGTGCAGCGCCCACATCCCAACAGCTCAATGTGGAACGATGCTGTTCCTCGCTCAGCCCTAGGATACTGCGGAGGAAAGGATCCACAGGGCCAGCAAAACCTGCAAATTCTGTCCTCAAGTGCCTGAGAAAATAATACGCCAAACTATGCAGCTGGTCGTCTTTCAAAGAAGCCTCTTTCAGGATGTACTCTTGCCCTTGCGAAGATATGTCGCTCCACAGCGCTGTGGAATCGGGGCTGAAAAAACTCTTCAACAGTATGTGAGAAGAATGGCCAGCCTCGGCCAGTTCCAAGTTGATTGCATGTTGCAGTTGAGCCTGTATCTCGTCGATGGGAACAGGTATGCCTGTGGGCCTTATCCTCCTCCAAATGTCTCTATCCAACTGAACAGGTTGAGAAAGCCGAGAAAGGCGTGCCAATAGCCCAAAGATTGGCCACCCAGATCGGATAACATCAGACCATTGAATCTGAAAAATAGCTTGATTGATGAGCCTTTCAAACCAGGCAGCGATCTCCGTCTGCTGGGAGCTCTTTGGCAGTACCCTGAGCATGTCCAGCAAAAACAGCTGAATTGATAACATTCCAAGGGGGCAATCTTGCGCTGCTCCTGGAATACCTTCAACCTCCACCGAAAGCTGCATCAAAGCACCTTCCTGCATTGAAATCTCAAGGGAAGCTCCGCGAACCCGGTCCCAAAGAGCTTTTTTGGCAATCTGCCAGGCAGAGAGACGCTTTCCGGCAAACTCTTCACAACTGCTATCCTCCGCAGTGACCACCCAGCTTGCTGCGAACCCAAGCCAAACATGAAGTATCCAAAGCCTCATTATCACCTATGCTTCATGAACAGTATTTCCCTTAGTAGCCCGAACAGCTCACCCGGGAGGTTCCACAGCATTGATTGCCAGCATACAGCCAAAATTGCTGGGTCTGAGATGGTCTAAGTCGTCTAAGCCTGACTAGGAAGCACGAACAGTGTCCATGCTGTTCAGTTTACATTGTGTCCATGAAGAAGCGTGTTTCTGTGTGCGCGCATTTCAATAGATTTCTTGATGCAGTGTATATATCTCCTAGATTCCTTGAGCAAGTGGCCTCGCGCTTGATCAAGGGCGGCTTGTTTGAAAGCAGCAGTGTTAAATAGTGACGCAAAGGCAGCTAACAAACACCATCAAACAAACCAAACCCGCTTCAAACATCGCTGCAAAACAGTCACCCTGTCAAAGTATATCAAAGCTGCAAAACCTGTGGTTTTGGTGTCGTACAATTGGAAAAACCAGCACTGCTGCAACGAGACCACTTGCACCCCATGCTGACTCAGCCTGAGCAAGCAGCAAGGCCTAAGGCCCTAACGAGTGAGGGGTCATAAAGAATTATTCGGATCAAAAAAAAATTAAAACACTGGTACTTAAAAAAATATATATCCTACAGAAATATATTTCAATTGTGGGCTGGATATTTTTTTTATCCAAAATATTCTTTTTTGATCAGGCAACGGGGGATCGAAATGCTCTAGCTCGCCACTCGAAGGCATCAAAAAAATATTCCAGACAGAAATAGACTTTGATCTTGGGTCTAGATTGCCACTTGGAGCAGCTATCCAAAATATGAATCCATTTCGGGCTGGTTTAAGATTCATTGATGGTTGTTTTAGGGTCTATTTGGGTTGGTTTGGGTCGGTATAGGGTCTGTTCAAAGTTTGTCTATGGTTGCTTTAGCGTTGGATTAGGTTTATTTCGGGATCGGTGCGTGCATGTCAATACTTGTAAATATGCATATCCATATCCATATCTATATATTATGTCTATATACTTATTTATTGATATTTGATACTACTAGTATATGATCATATACACAGGGCAAGGGATCAAAAAATGTTCTGGGATCAAAAATATCCCCAAGCGATCAAGAAAAATGATGTATATATGATATTATATGTAAATAGGATTACTATATATCATGTTGTATATATATATATATTATTTCTATATATGTATATATTATATAGAGTTGCTTGTGTATATAGAAAGGGAGAGAGAAAGAAAGATACACACGCATATAAAAAAATATCTAAATACATGGAAAACACACACAACATGCAGAGAAGTGTATTGCAAGTGTGCAAAGTTGGACTTGAATAAAAAAACGGGATGGGGGCTTGGGGGCAGGGCGCAGCGCCTCCCCCCAAAGCAGAATGACAATACTTGTTTTCACAGGCAATGCTGTAGTTTGAATATGGTACTCAAATAATGCCGAACATGCCCCTTGTGAACATGTAGAATGTAGGCTGGGGATGGTTGAGGCATCACGGTGTTGGGTGAAAAACGGCGCAAATAGTTGCATTGAATGTTATGACAGTGTTGGTTTAGGATTTGTTTAAGGATGTTTAAGGTTGGTTTAAGGCAGGTTTATCTAGGGTTGGTTTTGGGGTTCTTTTGGCTTGGTTTGGGGTTTCTTTAGGTTTGGTTCAGGGTGTTTCTAAAGTTGGCTCAAGGTTCTTCTTCAAAGTTGGTTTAGGATCCAGTTGGGGTTTGTTTAAGGTTGGTTGCAGGGTTTCTTTAGGGATAAAATATGTGCATATAAAGTACCTAAAAAAGTATGTGCATGTGGAAATATAAATATATGCAAATATATGAATATGATTATAAACATATTATATTATATTCCCTCCTTCCTTGCTTGCTTCCTTCCTTCCTTCCTTCCCTTCCTTCCGTCCTTCCTTCCTTCGTTCGTTCGTTCTTTCTTTTTTCTTTCTTTCTTTCTTTCTATCTTTTTTTCTTTCTTTGTTTCTTTCTTTTCTTTCTTTCTTGCTTTCTTTCTTTCTTTATTTCTTTCTTTCTTTCCCCTTCTTTCCTATTCAAACATATAACATTTATTTTTTTTGATCCGGATTATTTTTTATGATCCAGCATATTTTTTTGATCCAGAAAAACAAATTGACCCCTATCTCGGCCCTAACCCAGCCTAAGGTTGAGTCAATGTCCGCTACAACTCTCTGCCCTTGCCGCACCTTTTTATTCCCTCAAATTTTCCCAAAAACATGATGCTGCTGAGTGGAAAATGCAAAATCTCCGCTCCTACCTTGAAGGCCAAGAGGGAATGCTGCAGAACTGCAAGGGCCTGGGTTAATTAGCGTTGCCAGGGGCAGGAAGGGTCTGCACCGGGCTGCTTAGGCTAGAATGAAATACAACATCTTCCATTGGGAAAAGGTCGGATGACCACGCGATAATCTAGCCAAATGGTCTCAAAGAAATATGCAAAACGACAGAAGGATGCACAGCTGACGTCCAAGCCGTACAAGCATCTCATGGATTTGAAGCTCGATGAACATTCGCACTATTTCCATGCAATTCCATGCATTTCCCACCTCTGTTGCAAAAATTGCAGTGATGAATATGCCGGCCTCAGCAGCCACCATGAATAACAGAAACAGTGACCGAAAGGCTGCATGAACGGGAAGGATCGAGCAAGTTAGCAAGTTCCTTCTGATGGTTTGCAATACTTCAATAATAGCTTATCTTTTTGGCTTGGTGTGTCTATCAGTTCTTGTGAGCACTTTGGTCTGCATTGATGTCAGGCTTCCGCGTCCGGTCCATTGCGACATCAAACAAAATGTCGGATCATTAAAGACATATTACGTATGCCTGCATGCGACTTGCGTGTATCAAAAAGTGAGCAAAGTTCGGCTGTCCCTGATCATTGCATGGACTCTGCTGTTTTACCTCGTGAGCGGATCGAAACAATTGTACGCTCATTACACTAACAATTGTTTATCAATTTTAGCATTTATATAGAAGGTGGGAATTCAATGGAATTCACTGGAGGTGTTCAGAGTCTGGCTCGACGAACCCGGGTCAGCTTCAGGTGAAAATAATTCCAGCCGATCACTAGGTGATTTCGCCTGCACGGGCGCACGGGTCACAGCCAGCCCACCTCTGACCCCAAGTAATGAATGCAGGCTTACAACATTTCATACTGTAACCATCTGGCCAATTTCTCGCCAGTCCTCATTGATTGAAAAAGTGTGCCCAACACTTTTTCTTTGGGATCCTGCCGATCCTCAGCTGGGAGCTTCTCAGCAGCTCCACATGCTATCCATTGCTCAAGTCATTGACAACCGTAATCGCATGTGCTGAGGCCAAGTTTGGCGCGATCACTTGTGTTTTCAGGCTGTCCAGCGGTGTGACCTGCAATCCAGGAAGAACTGGTCTCACTGAATGCTGGGGCTTGGAACATCAAACAAACACAGATACCTCTACACAAAAGGGACCCAAGTGATTACAAAGAAAGCGTTGAAAGAACTTGTTCGTGAACAGATTTATGGTCTTGGCTTGAGTCAACCATGGTTCGGAGAAGCACCGACAACGAATTTTCATCAGGGCCCACTTTGTTGGCTGCATCGTGCTCATCCACATAGACTGACACCATCACCTGGACGCTGCATGCCAGCATGCATGCTACCAGTGCAAATTATCCCTGGCGCATTGCCTAGTCGGTAGCCTAGATGCAAGCATATATGCGCCATGCGCATACGCGCAGACATTCGCACACGTAATGTATTATTATATAGATAGATAGATTAGATAGATAGATTTATGTGCACATGTGCATATAATAATGTACACATGTATTGTACTACAGTACTACATGCATGCGTGAATGTCGAGGAGACAAATGCATTTGTTCAAAAAAATGTTGGAACATGTTAGAACATGTTTGAACATATTCCTCACATATGCGCATAGGTGGGTAGATGATGGATGGACCTACGAACACCTACCTATGTACATATGATATCATATGATTATACATAATTATACATACGCATAATATGTATACATGTGATACAGTGTATAATCATTACCGTAAAATTATCATGAGAAAAGATCACAAGATATGACTATATACTGTACTCCAGAGAGCATCGTACTATCTGCAGTAAGTATATCATATAGACAACCAAACAGACAAAGAAAGACAGACCGACAGACTGACTGCCTGCCTGCCTGACTGGCTGACTGAATTGATTGGCACAAGATGGTACAAGTACCTATCTGGGTTTGTGATCAGAGGGATTGGTACCTGGCATCGCATGGATGGCAGGGGATAGAATAGGATAGAAAGACTCTGTAGACATACAGACGGAATCAAACAAAAGATATCAACAGATAAATAACAAGATGCCAAACAAGAGAATACATGCTGTATTGCATCGTTCTATTATCTATTGAGCGCGTTGTCTCCTCTTGCACCTTCTGCTTGACTGTTGTGCCAACTGAGGTCTGTACGAAACCAGCGCATGCAACCAGTACCAAGGTCTCAGCCAAGACAATGTGTCAAACGGTTGCATCAGGACTGCTGACAACTAAGCTTGGCGAAGTTAGACAGAGTTCATTCCCCTGAGAGCCAAACAGCGGTGACCACATTGGCCGTTGTTGTGAACTCCTCATCATACTGGCCTCACAATGCTCCGGCAGAATCAGAGAAATCCTGGATTTGCCAGATTTGTCATTGAAAAAAACAAAACAAATGACTCGTACGACTATATACACAGAGACATATTATATATATGTGTGTGTGATTATATATATATATATACATATATGTGTGTGTAATTAAAAATGTATATATATATAATTATATATATATACATATTACACATTTTTGAAACAAATGCGTATGATCATACGCACACAATCACTTTGTTGCACCTGGTTGCTGATGTATGGACAAGAGACAGATGACCGTGCAAAAAGCTGTTTTCATATCGGCATATCTGTGGCTGATGCTCAGGAACTCTCCGGGTTCTTGCTGAACAATTTCGAGCCTCAAGGAAGCTCTCTTTTCAGCAGCTATGCACTTTGGACTGATCACGGGCATGTACCAGCATTGTGGAAATCTACTGGTGGCCCTGTGGCCCCCGAAGCTCAACCCCGTAACATTGAGGCCTGATTGTTACACAAGGTGTTACAAACCCCAGCCACCCTCATTAAGAGCTTGTTGAACCTCATGGTTTGCGGGGCTATCTCTGGGGATGGGCCCTTAGATTTCCGTGACAGGAAGTACCCGTCACAACAAGCCCTGCAGCAGAGGCACTGAGCTGCAAGATCATCCGCGAAAATCGCAAAGAAGTCAGTATGCATCGTAATGCAGGAGTCCTGGATTTGAAGCGGGGAGTAATGTCAATAATTACAAGCATCCAACACCAAGGATTGAACTAAAATGGAAAATTGGTGCCGAGAACTCAAAAATGATCCTGGTCCAGGCCTCGCTAAAGATTGAGCCCCGTGAGTCAAACGCAGCTTCACTGAAGTTGCCGTTCGCAAGGTCCACCCAGTAGCAAGTTGATGGGTTCCTGTCAAGTCTGCTAGCGAAGTACACGAACAAAACATCAGAGCCTGGTCTGGGGCCACTGTTCCTTCTGACGTTGATATTCCGAGCGTGGGATACAGTATTTCGACACGTTTGCACCATGCTTCCTATTGAAGAGTGCCATACCGTCATACCAATTCTCAAGTCGAAACCATGGAAGTGTGTTGGAGCCGCGCTTTGCTAGTAGCCCAAGACCATTGCAAAGCCGCATTCTGCCCCCTAAACGGGCTGGTGGAGTTTCACAGGGGAACCTGTACGTAGCATAAAGCGTTGCAAATCTGCAGGGGTCTGTATCCCCCGCAATTGCGCTTCTACCGGTCGGACATGTACAGGGGTACTGTACATATCCATTTACAGTACATTCCCAATTGTTTGATCCATGAGACAATTGCCATCTCCTCTCAAACCTGAGTTTAGTGCAAACTCTTCCGTTCACATTCTGAGACCCGAGCAGCACATTGCCATAGCTGGAAGAATCGTACCTTCCAGATTCCAGAGTGAGGATTTTGGAGAAAAACACACTGCAATTTGCCAACTTTCTGCATCACATCTGCCTCAGATCTGATCCCAGAGATGAATAGACTTTCGGTCAAGAACCTTTTGCTTTCATTTGCTTTCTAGACTCTAGAAAGTCTTAAATTTAAATTCTTGAATATGATGCATCTGGATGCTTGGCCTGGATTGCCGGCTATACTGTACTCAATTGGAAGCCTTTGCTTTCTTCGTTCAGTGAACTTTTCATGTTTGTTTCTCTTTCCCCAACCTGCCACACTACAAGGCCCTACAAGCTGACTCTAGATTTGGCATTTGCTATATCAAATGCTAAACTATCAATCCTGCAAGGCAGGACACAGGTTCATTTGTGTAGCTCCCTGACAGCCCTGAGTCCTTTTGCCCCTGCTTATCTGATGTCCTTTCTTGATCTTTCTGGTTTATGATGTTTTCTTTTGTGGTGTTGCAGCTTGGCATGACTTCTCATCTGAATCAGCTGTCTCTCTGTAGGATCCTTCGCTTGGGCTTAGCTACTTTGCCGGTGGTTCCTTCCGAACGGCCTAACAGCACTTGACAATAGTTGACAACTATTTCCTGCAAAGACTCAGGCGGTCTGGTCAAACTATTTTAGAATGGCATTCCCGGCATTCCCACTTGCTGGCGTCGCATGATGCCAACCGGCTCCTCATGAAATCAAAGCGATCAAAGATAAAAGAATGGATTGCCCCGGGAGCACGCTGCAATCTTTGGCAGCATCGAAAAAGTTGCATTCACCAAAGACCTTCGCTTGGTCGTTGCCACTGCCACGATGCAAGAGTTGTCACATGTCACAAGATCTCACAAGTCACACGTCCCAGCCATCTAACGTCTATCATGAAGTTCACCTTGAACGCACTGGCATCATAGTACTTCACAAAGCAAAATGGCACAGAGAGGGAGGGAGGGAGGGAGGGAGGGAGGGAGGGAGCGATGAGAGAGAGAGAGAGAGTGAGTGCAATCGCCACAGTGGCAGTGAAGCAATGCAATGAGATGCATACCTGCAATGTGAGATGCAAATCAAGCAACAATTGCAATTTGAGGTGTGGGAGATGCAGCTCCTGCCTATCAATCAGGCTCTCGTTGCCGTCCTCAAGTGGCAACCAGATGTCTTGAACGTTTGAACCAAGGCATGGTTACATCATGTTACACACACACACAAAAACTCTTGAAACTTTTGAACACACAAAAAAAGGTTCAATGCATTGTGACTATAAGAAGCCTCTGAGCCAACGAAGCATATTATTTATGCATTGATTTCAAGAGGTTTCAACGATTTCAAACCATACAAGCACTTAAGTACTGAAGCCTTTCTGAGACAGTCGTGGTGGGGGCCATTCCTCATCGGTGACTGTCAGCAAGACTGCGTGCCAAAGCCTACAGATTTGTCAAAAGAGAGAAAGAGACATGAGCGAAATCGTGCACATACAGTACGATACTACGAGTTCCGGAAGCAATCATTTTCTATGAGGATTCGCACCTATCACCTATCCAGTCCAAGTCAAATGCACCTATCCATTGCAAGTCAAACACCAGGCTGAGTTTTGCTAGTATTTTTCTTGCTAGTATTTGTGTTGGTTGTTGAGTCCTCTTGTGCATAGTGCTAAGGACTAAGGACTTTTAAACACCATTTAACTATATAGTCAGTACTGCTTACAGGGTGCACGTTGCTTCACATCAAGCTCAGATATGCTCAGATCGGACAAGCATGTCAACGAATAAGATGAGACATGAGAATGTTTTCGGTTGAATTCCATTGACCCACGGATGCGCATCCCGTGAGTAAGCGTAGCACATGTCGCATGGGAGATGTATATAGATACACAATGATAGAATTATACTGATTTAATCTGATTTACTGGTATTGTTTGGATTCCGGCTTCATCGACTGCAATATATCTGTCCTGAAACCAAGCTCCCCGCCTCTCGCTTGCGTTGACGACTTGGGTTGGCCTTGAAAAAAACACCATGAAGATCAATACGGATCAATGCGGAGCTTTGTCCTCTAAACTGTCAACATACACATCTTCCAGCATCTTCCACCAGGGCAAGGACACTAAACTTGCTACTTCAGGATTGGTCTCGTTCGCAGGTGGAGGTGGGCCCCTAGGTCAGCACGTTTGATCAAGCGACAAACGAATGCTGCACCAATCTGCACCAGCACATTGCAAAGCAGCACAGTTTCGTGGGAATGTGTCTCCATTTTGTCTCGGGCAAGCACAGGGTCTGGTTGCCGGGCATGACGAGGAAATCATAGGGAAATTTCCTCAATGAATGAATGCAGTTGCCAGCAATCATGCTGGTGTGGGGCGAAAGGCGAAACTCTCTCCTTCCCTCAATTCTGAGTTCATCGCTTGAACTGTATGTATCTGTAGTTGTACTGGGACGGCATGCCAGGTCTCTCTAGGCCTTGGGAGCACGTGCTGCTGAACACATTCTCTACCCAAGGCCGCCCGCATCCTGCACTATCACTATCTAAGACTAGGGCTTGGAACGTCAAACCTCAGCAGCAACAAGCGCATTATAAGAAGATAATAACGCGGAACCCATAGAATTCGAACATTCCTGACAGCACACACGCATACATACATACATTACATTACATTACATTACATTAAATTAAATTACATTACATTACATTGCATTACAGACATACTTACTTACCTTACATTACATTACATTACATACATACGTACATATATATGTTGAATGCGTACACATTCCATCCACGTTTGATCACGACAAGGTCTCGACAAGGTCTCGACAAGGTCTAGGGGCGGTTAGGTTTATCACCCAGTGCGGCTGTACATACAAAAATGATCAAAATGCACATGGGCGTAAAAAATAATATGCAATAAATTATAATATATATATATATAACTTATTATAAACAAATATAATCTCACATACATATGTGCATTGACATTGTAAGCGTGTAGGATTATTGTAGGATCTGAGATGATCCGAGTGCGCGTGTGTGTGTGTGTGTGCACGCGCGGACGCGCACGCACACTCTTACACACAAAACATTATATATTGTTTTTCTTCGTTGGTCGGTGCTGAACTCTTCAGTAGCTTTCTCTCATGTCACATCTTGCTTGGTCAAAATGATGTTTGATGATGTTGGTCAGCCGCAGCCGCACAATGAGCGATCATCAAGTCAGGCACAAGAACAAAGCCCGTACAGTAGAAGAGCCGTTGTTTCTGGCGCCGATTGGGCTTACGAGACATGTGGGGGCAGACTGACTTGATGCAGCAAAGTGGCAGCTCAGTGATAGGTGCAATGTTCTCCACTGTCACATTTGTAAACGATTTTCCTGGCCACGTGGGCTCACTTGAGTTGTGAGCACCCACAACGCGCACAGGACTCCAACAAAGAGCCAGGCAGCACCTAGATAGATGTCTTGGCCAGGGAGAAAAAAGCTAAGCGGCACCTGAACATAAAGGACAAAAAAAACAAAAAGGCAGGCAGCCTTTTTTTGACCAGCTCAATTGCCTCTTGTGCCCTTTGATATTGATAAAACTTGAGCATTTTTGCGCGAATGCATGATCTGCTTTGTTCCACTTAAAACTAAAAACACACCTCTGCAGGATACAGCTGTTTGTGTATGACCTCAGAACCGAGCGCATTGTGAAGAGCCATGCTTGCTTGCTCTGAAATTTGCTAGCCTATAGTGTCTGTCCCGATGTGCAAATTGAGTGCCAGGCCAAAGCCAGAATACCCATGACGACATTCGCACTCTGGAAGTGGTTGTACCTATATATATATATAAGACAGAGGGAACAGTGGCAGATGGTAGCGGCATGCAGCGGCTATCTGTCGCTTATCTTGAAATATCTTGAAATTTGACTTCTGTGTGGCACTGTGTGGCACTATGTGGTACTCTCTCCCCACAGCGAGGGCGTCACATTTCTTCGAAAGTTCTTGTCTCCACACTCTGCAACTGCCGCAATGGCCAGTCTGCAAGGACCTCGGACAAAAAGTGGCGACAGCAAAAGAAAGTGACGCCGCAATCATTTGGTGGCCACAAAGATCCACAAAGTACATGATCACATCAGTTAGCGTCTGGACGTGCAAACAAAGAGGGCTGCGGGCCGTTGATTGCAGACTTGCTTGGCTGCAAGCCAATTGGTTTTTTTATACGTAGTAGTCATTCAAAAGAATATCGTCTGAATACCGCTCTGTTCAGCTGAGCAAAAGGCCATTCCACCCACGAAGTGCTCTCCCTCCAACCGTCGAGCCGTTGCATTCTGGGAAGGCACCTTAGGCACTCCTGATATTGCCTGATGACTTGATGCATCTGATGCAGATGCCGGAACAAAGGACACAGAACTGAATGATTGTTGTGGGAAAAAGTTGGTTAAGTGGACAAATAGTTGCAAAGGCTCCTGTGTCACAAAATCTTTGCAGCCTACAACTATGAACAACAGTTACTACAACAGTAACTACAACAGTAACTACTCCGGTTGAATTCAACGGATTCAACGGTTGAATCTTCTCAAGTCTTCACACTGTAGCTCGGATCTTGGCCACACCAGGCATGATGGCATCAATTGCAGTGAACCTCGGGCCAATTTCATCCAATTTCCATGTCAGAAAATGTCCGACGAACAGAATCATTTGCGGGCTTTGTTTGCGAGAATCAATGTATGATATTGTATGCAATTGGTGGTAAACATACAGTACATGTAACATGCAGTTCAAGCCAAAGCAAAAAGTTCAACATCTGCGTTGCTTTGCACACTGGTTTCCAAGGCAGGAACAAGCTACCAGCAATATCGATGGAGGTCTGGACGCGGCAAAAGGTGGAAAATGCAAACCACGGTGCTCTGTAAACTGCATCCGCAAATCAAAGCATCCACCTGTATCGCACATCTACCGGGAGTAACGTGGATCAACATTCATCTGTCGTCAACTGTCTGTCTGAGTCTGCAGGCGGCTTGAGAAAGCACTGGGTCCAGCACCGAGGAACCCAGAGAGCCATCTGCTTTGATTAGGTTCAAATCCACAGACCTCAAGACAGAAAACGACGGAACATGAGAGGACATGACAGAAACTAAGAATCACAGGCACTTGTATATGTATATATATATATAAGGCTAATGTAAGGGAGTAATTTGCTGAGGCGAAGGCAAGTTCACCATCCTTTCCAAGAATGATACAACCTGAAGCTACCAAAATTGCAGACCAAAGCAAATGACTTTCTGTGGCTTTCTCGTTGGCGCCCATGATTACAGTGACTATCGTCCATCGTCCTGAGATGGAGACAGAGTCCACAATTGCACCGGTTTGCGCAATCACTGTGAGCATGTTTGCCGTTGCCGACACCATCTGCGCAAGGAAAGAAGGTAGCAAAGGTGACATTGATTGATGGACTTCCTGCTGGATCTGCTAGCAAACAAAGTGCACAGAGATGCCCAAAGCAAAAGACTCAGGCGAAAAAATGCTAGGAGCATCATTTTTTCTCGCAGCACTCGGTCACCATGACATCCAGATAGTGCCCCATTGCAAAGGCCACAATGGCCTGTGCTGCAGGTGTGCAAGCACAGAACATCCCCAACCAAGCCCATAATGCCCCTTTGCCTCTTAGGATGGCAGAATCATACTCTGAATATGTCCTTCATGACTTTCCGTCTCCCACTCCTACTGTTCGCATCATATCAGTGTGTACATTTAGTCAACTACCATTTAAAAAATTAAGGTACACAAAGTGGAGGCACTGTAAAAGCCATATTTGGGGGGCATATCCCCTTACATAGGCCTTACATAGACCTTCAATTTAGGTTCCTGAAATGGCCATTGATTAAAACCGATGCATCACTCCGTCCCAGTCAGAATGCCTCAAATGCCTCCTCTGGCAAGGCAGCTCTTCTTGAACCCTGCAATGCACGCCTGCGATTTGCAGATATTTGCAGCATGTTTTCGTATCTCGCAATCTATCACAGCACACGACGGTACCAGTGGACATGTGGTATTCAATATGTCTTCCAAACAGAGGAAAACAATGGAAAATCAACAAACCTGAGTGTCCCTTGCAGGATCGCAGAGGGCTGCAGAATGAAATCCAGAGACCAAAGTCCTGAATGCATATGAACAAATCTGAATTCCTTTGGGACTTTTACAGCAGAAACCACGCGCTGCCTGTGAAATGCCTCTGACCAAAATAAAAACTATGTAACTCCAGCACACAACTGTTGACCATCGAGAATGATTTCCGCAAAACTCTCATCAAGTCTAGACTCCTCCGCTGCAAAGCGAGTTGTGACCTCCAAGTGATGAAAATGTTGCCATGCACCAATCACAATCACATGATGCACTGGCAGGGCTCTAGGTATTTCAGGTGTTTTGATAGCGCTCGTACTGTCTCTTACATGATTTATCATGTTTTGCATAAATTTTCAATCTCTATGCCTCGACCGGTTCCGCAACTTTCACCTCCGAAGACCAAGAGCTTGTTTCCTGACAGGATGGTTGACGTCAGCTAATCACTTCCCATCTCAAGAGAATCTGCGAGCGTCTAAGACTAGCAACATCGTAAGTAGCAGCATACTAGTATCATCTGGTACGACCTGGTGCGACAGTACGACAATGGATGCTTGATGTACGAGTATCTTAAATCTTGATATATCTTTGCAATACTCCGAACCGTTAAAGTCGACCAATTTAACAGAATTGTGTCAAATCTCATTGGGACGCCGTTGGATCAGGAAGTCAAATAAGTTGACCAAAAGCAAGGTCAACCCCAATGGGACGCCGATGTACGACAAACTCTGTTTTGGCAAGTTTTGCTGTGAAAGATGAGGAAACACCTTGTGGACGCAACTCCCAAAACATCTTCAAAGTGGTATTAAATACAACAAAAAACAATCATTACATATTGGGACGCCAGTGATTCACCACATGTAGATTGCAAGTGATCACAAGAAAAACTGTTTTTACCTGTTGGATTCTGCAGGGACACGGTTACCCTCTGGTAAACTAACGTAACTATGGAAAATCACCATTTTTAATGGGTAAATCCACTATAAATGGCCATTTTCAATAGCTATGTTAGTTTACCAGAGGGTAGCTGTTTCGAACGACGTCCGAACGACGTATCGAACGATGTATCGAACGACGTCAAAGGGTATCAAAACCCAGACCTTTGGATTCATTTGCTTTCATGTTCCTTTCATTCTCCTTTCATTTCCTTTCATTGTCCTTTCATGCGATCATGAAAACATGGTATAGACACAACCTAAATACGAAGTCGCACAAAGTCGCTGGCAACGCAAAACCCACGAAAAAATCAAAAACTGAAAAAAACTAACTTGCTAGACACAAGCTGGACGCAACATTGGCCAACTTTAGAAGTTGCGTGCGCGCAGCTGGGACGCTCATTTCATTGAAATCGTTCAACTTTAACAACTCAGAGTATCTTGGCTGTTTCTTTTAGAAGGCCTCTAACGTATGTCCCCGGGAATGTGTCAAGAATTGAAGAGAATTATCGAAGGAAGTTTAAAAGTCAAACTTCCGACAATATGGACAGATGAAAAGCAGAGCAGGGAAGAGGCAGAGAGCAGAAAAAGATTAGAAGAAAGAAGAGTAAGAAGAAAGAAGATGCAGATGCGTGAAAAGGTAGGATAGTCGCGAAACATTGTGATTTGGGGCTCCGGAGGGTCGAAAAGTAGGCTCGCTAAAGCGGCGGGTGCGGAGCCAGCTGGCAAGATGAGAGATGAAAAATTGCACGCCGTTGTGGCGCGAAGCACATTTCCAAGTCAAAATGTACAAAACACACCAGGTGCGGACCACTTTTGGCACTTGAGATGTCGAAAAAGTGCACGCCGTTGTGGCGCGAAGCACATTTGCAAGCGAAAATGTACAAAACACACCAGCTCCGGACCACTTTTGGCAGTTGAGATGTCGAAAAAGTGCACGCCGTCGTGGCGCGAAGATGCGCGAAGCACATTTCGAAGTCAAAATGTTAAAAACACTGAAGGTCGGACCATTTTTGGAGGTTCGATGTCGAAAAAGTGCCGTTGTGGCGCGAAGCACATTTCGAAGTCAAAATGTTAAAAACACTAGGGGTTCGGACCACTTTTGGAGGTTCAGATGTCGCTTCGCTTCACTACAATACACTACATTACACTACACTACACTCCACTACACTACATTACACTACACTACACTCCACAACACTACAACTACAACAACGCAACTACACTCCACTACACTCCACTACACTAAATTACACTAAACTACATTCCGCTACACTACATTACACTACACTACCTTCCACTACACTTGACTACATTACACTACATTACACTACGCTGCACTCCACTACACTACAACTACAACTACACAACTACACTCGACAACTCACTTCTTCATGCTGCAAAGGCTAAGGAACACGCAATCGTTGATTCCAATGTGTCTTTGATCTTGCCGGTGGCTGAAGTGATTCTGTGGAAGCCGCTGCCAACTTTTCTCTGTGAGGCTAAGGATGCTGGTTGGAGTCTCACAGCTGGTTTCCACCAGGCATCAGAATCATCTATTTGATGTAGAGCCCAAGTGACAACCAGCGCAAAAGCTCAAAACGTAAGCACAGAGATATGCCAAAGTGGTGGTAGTGGGGGGGGTTCTGAAAAATTGGGTCTTGAACCACAATCCCACTCCAAAGACAAATCTATGCACATTCATGCGTTCTGTTGTCACATCGCATTTTGGATGCTATTCGACAACTCACTTCTTCATGCTGCAAAGGCTAAGGAACACGCAATCGTTGATTCCAATGTGTCTTTGATCTTGCCGGTGGCTGAAGTGATTCTGTGGAAGCCGCTGCCAACTTTTCTCTGTGAGGCTAAGGATGCTGGTTGGAGTCTCACAGCTGGTTTCCACCAGGCATCAGAATCATCTATTTGATGTAGAGCCCAAGTGACAACCATCCTCGGGCTCTACAATGCCACCTTGCACGAGGAAAACGCTTTCCGCAAACTCCAAACATTGATTCACCGCTTCCGAAGTAGCAAACTCGATGTTGGTGGAAACCTTCACCAAAATGGCCCAAAAATGCGCGAGGTCAGGATCGATTCGAATCCAAGAAGGTTCAACCACGGAAAAATCAAATCTGCTGATAGGATCTGCAATGTTCTGAGCCGAAGGAACCCATTCAAAGTGTGGAAAGGTTTGGGAGTGTCCGAGCCAGCACCAAAAGAAGGACAAAAGGTTATTGACTGCTTCGTCTCGTCCAAACCCTTTAGCTAAGGCTGACTTGCCTGGCAGATTGTCAATGTAGCTACAAACGTATGGCGTCATGACCTTTCTGAGCAGCACAAAGCCAATCACCTGTGCTATGATTTCCAACACGAAAATGAAGGCTCTGCGCTTGGCAAACAATCGCAGTAATGCCTCTGGCACAGTTCCGGAGCAATAGTAAACTTGCCCCTGAATTTTGAGCACAACGCCCCAACCATTGGTGAGTTTTGCTGATTTGGAGGCATTCCATTTCCACGGCACATCATCATCACCTGGGTGAAAGCACCGATCGCCAAGTTGAAAGAATGCGTCCGTGTACAAAACTGACACCGGACTGGTAGGCCGAAATGGTATGCATCTCGGAGGAAGCCTGGGAAGCACAGCCAAGAGCGCTGACAGTGCTGTTCGCAAGGCATGGGAAAGCTGGTTATTCTCTGATGCTTCGCTCGGTAAAAAATGCGCTCTTCCATACAAAGGAGCAAGCATCGCTACCCCCATTTGGCCAAAGGAAGTAGTTTGCAGAAAATTCAAACGGCCCGCCAACGCCTGAGCCTCGTCAGGAGTCATCTGATTGGTCTGCAGGTGGTTTGAGATGCTATTCACCACACGCACAACTCGTGTAGGGCAAGGAGACAAAACTGCTTCAGTGCTGGTTGTGGATATGAAAACCCCCAACATTCGCTGAGTTTGAGCCGGCGGCTGGGCCTTCTTGGGTTTGGTGCGAAGGCCTAAAGCACTGAACATCTGAGCAAATGTGTCGAAACCTGACTGTGCCAAAGCTTCTGGTTCGGTTGCTCCAAAATCATCGACAAAGTGAAGCGCAGGACACCAGAGGAGTTTCCTAGCCAGGGTTGTCAATGTATCTGCCACTCTGTTAAAAGCCCACACTGAGGCAACCGCGCCGAAGCTCAAAGCGTTGTGCCGAAAAAGGCACACGCCGTCAGTCACCTGCAAGAATGTGTAGCATTCCTGTGGGTCATGAACGGGCAGCTGTCGGTATGCCGCAGCCATGTCGTGTCCCCACGTTGAGCACTGTTGGTCTGACTGAGCCAACTGTGCTGCCGAGGAGACATAGTGGTCCACAGTGTGGTGAGTTGGTGTGTCATGCACCATCACTGTAGAGTTGTGTCCAGATCTTCTCCAATCTTCGCAGCGACGTATTTTGTCTGGCTGCGCGACGGAGAAACATCCAGCAGCCAGTACCTGAGGGTCAGGAAGCTCTCGAAGTTGTAGACCGTGGCACTGGGAAGCCGTGGCGCCCCACGAAGGTGGAGGGATGAAAGGTCCCTCAAGTCTGCCCAGTTGTAGTTCTTCTAAAATTTCATCTAACATAGGTCGCCAGTGTTGGTCTAGGGTGCGTTGCTTTAACTTGCGTTGCACGTAGGCCCTGTTGATCTGAATGAAAACTTCTCGGGAAACTGGATTGGCGTACTTGCCATCCAAACGTGGTTGCCATCCAGCGCCCGGTGCAAGTTCTCCCGTAGTGGCAAAACCTTCAGTGAGTTCACGATACATGGTGTCAACCATTGGATAGTTGATGCATTCAAGCAACCACATCCACATCGGCACTTGAACCAGTGTATCTGTTTGGGTGTACACCTTTCTCACATGGGTTGCAAGCCGAGAACACCAGGCTGTTGTGGTGTCCGAGAAGGAGTCAATCAACTCAACCAAATCGTTGGCTACCTCGTATCTCATTCGGGCGACATCGCCAACCATGCGCCACTTCAGAAAAACCTGTGCAATCCCTGGTTCAACGTTTGCATGATGAAACAGTGGATGTCTGGCATCATCGGTTGCCCGCCAATGCCCCATCATGGAGCAGGACGGCTGCTTGGTGTTTGAAGCCTGACTCCACCGTTGAGGTCCTACCATGGCATCCTCGGACGCTGCGATACCGAGGACAAATTGCAGTGCTGACGACCTGGGTTCATGCACTGGGGCTGCCAGAGCGCCGCACTGCTGCAGCAAAATCATCATCAAAAATTTTGCCACTTGAAAATGCCAGGCATTGGCCAACATGCGGTGCCTGGAGCGTGTTGGCACTCCGTCGCACTCAGTGTGGCCTGGCCGAAAACCCTGCAACTGTTCCTTGACTGTGACTGGCAGGGTGCACAGCTCTCCCGAGTCCTTGACCATCATGGCTGTTTCAGTGTAGTGCCATGGAGCATAGCACCGTTGGTCCTGAAGCCATCTCTGCTTGACTTCAGATAGCAGCTTGCCCTTCATTTTTCGCGGCGGTGGCCTCCCAGCTTCAGTTGGTGCCGGGGTGGTCAAACAAGGCAGCTTGACCGCACCTGAGATCACTTTGTCATGAAATCGAAGTCCATTTGTCTGGATATCAGATGCCCTAGTTGCAGGAAGCTCCAAGCACAACTTGGGAAGCTTGCGAACTTTTTGCCACTTCAAGGTTTTCCCGGTCATGGGGCACTTTGAAATGTCACACCAACGGACTCGAGTCCAAAACAAACGGGGCCTAGAAATGATCGTGAAATCTGCTGGATCCACCAAAATGGGTTGAGCTTGTCAGGCATCCGTGAAATACTGCGTGTCAGCGGGGTTTTGCATAACCACATTTTCAACTAGAAGTAGAAAATCTCGAGGGCGAAGCAGTTTCTCCAAGCGCTTTACAAACTCAGAAAAGACCACAAACTTGTGGCCCTCTTGCCCTTCTCTGCCACAAGCACTGTCAGCGATGCCACTAAAGTCAGGACATGGTGGCCCGCCTGATAGCAAAACGATTGCACGCCCAGCCGGATCAAGCGACTGGATGGCTTGCTGAACTTCTTCTGGTGTGTCTGCTGCCACATCGCCTCGGTGCTTGACATGAGGAAAATGACGCTCCAACACCTGGATGCATTCCATGCAAGTCTCCCAGGAAAAATAGGCCAATGGCTGGCCCACCACACTCTCCAAAGCAAGTTCTGCAGTGCCAATGCCGTCAAAAAAGGCTAGGTGAATGAACTCTTTCCCCATTGATTTCAACGAAGGGGTCAATGCCACAGTGTTGCTGGACCTAGCTTGGTCGGGTATCAGGGCACCTGCAGCGACCGCCCTGACCCCGGGCTGTCCCTATTGGTCTTTGGGGGCTTCAGCAGAAGCCCTGGAGTTGTCCCATTCGCGAGGCTTTGCCCAGGAGCCACTGCCCTGCCGGTTGGACCAGGAGGATTGGGAGGACGAATGGTAACCCCAGTCGTCGAGGCCCATTTGCCTTTCCCATATGGTTGCCACCTGGAGGAGGAGCGATGTTTGCCAAACTTGCCATAGCCTTTGGGCTGCTCGGTCTGGCGGCCCTTTGTACCATTGCTGGTCTTCTTGACGGAGGAGTCCTCCTTGGCCATGTGTTCCGCAAACTTGTCATAGTCATTGATGATGTGCTTGGCCGCGGCTGCAAATGACATGCCATCACGCATGGTCATCGCAATGCGCCAACCACAAGCGCTCCAGTAGAGATTGAGCTGCTCGCACTTGGTTGGTCTGGACCGGGCTCTCTGGCACATGACATCACAGTATTCAATGATGTCAAGTTCATCACCAAGTTGGACAAGGATCATGGCCCACTTGGCAGCATTGATGCCGTCAAGGATGGCGAGTATGCTTTTTGGCTGCCACACGGACTCCTCTTTGTGAACCAGTGAGCCATCCTCCCAAAACAAATTGGTGAGCTTCTTCTGCCCTTTTGCTAAGGGATTAAGGTCTCCATTGCTCTGAAAGGATCGCTGTTGAAGTAACTCGCCTAAGTGCAGTGGTGTATATAATTTGCTGCGGTGATGTTCGAACCACAGCCGTGCGACTACGCACTCTGCTCCCATCAGTTCCTTGACAGGGAACTGCCGATCACGGCCATGAAGCTGCTCGGAGTTGTACTTCTGGATCAAAGAGCTCCAGACTCCCACCGGCAAGGTCTTGGGAACCTTTTCGTCTTTGTCTTTGTCAGCACTGCCTGTTGGGGACACGGAAGGTGATTGCACAGCCATGGCTGCATTGGCACAGTTGGCAGCCGATTTCAACCATTGGGACCTGGCCAGGTTCCACATGTGAAGTATCATTGCATGTGCTATTGGATGGTCGTGCTCGGGCACCACGGCAACGTTGGCGCCATCTTTCCACCCAGCTAGCAGCGGATCCACCAAATTGCGGCGCAGCTGCGTCTCGTCAGCCGCCATGAGCGCCAGGGTGCCCAGAGTGCATACCCCACGCATTTTGAGGTAGGTTCTGACGGCCGGAGAGGCAGCCGCTTCATCGGCCACCTCGTCTAAGGTCGAAAATGACCTCATCTTGAAACAAAACCTTGCGGTCGGGATGCAGTCAACACTGTCCCAGGCATCACCGCTCTGCCGTGACTGTGGCAAATGATCAAACGATCGAATGGATTGGAATGGACTGGAATTTGATCAAACGATCAAAGTTGCACAGCTCGCAACAAACGTGGCACGATTGCCAGCACTGACGTGGAAATAGCCGAATGAAGAAGTCAGGGGTCGAACGACCCACGAAATAAGCACAAATTAAATATAAATATATAAACAAATAATACACGCAAATACACTCAAAATACAGAATCAACGTGAAAACGAGTTCGACGGCCAAAGCAGCACTGCGACTTGCTGAGAAATTCAAAGGATCCGTGTCAAAAGATTTCCTGGAGTGGACCAAACACAAAACAGAAGAAATGTGAAAACACATGTTGGCGTGAAGTGAAAAGCAACTCAGCGGTCAGACGTGTCAAGTATCGCACCTTTTTTTGTCTGAATGCTAGTTCGAGCAATCTGCAATGAATGGGTCATACATCCATCAAGAAGGCACTTCTTCGGAGCTCTCAACAGAGCTACTGGTGCCACTGCTGTCTGAGCCAGAATCCTGCTCATCATCCCCAGGTTCGGCTGGGATGCTGAAACACTTCTTGCATCGGCGGTGTTCTGGGGCCACCTGTGTGATGCGATAGAAGTTGGACACGCCATAGCTCCATCCACACTTGGAGCGCCACTCGGTCGGTGGATTGCTCAACACATCATGCTGTGCCAGGTGTACCATTCTTGAACGGGACCTGACAATGAAAGGTCTTTCCGGTGGCACTATTGCGCTCTGAAGTGACTGGACCGTGCACTCCAACTCATTGACTCGGTTGAGAACTGCGTCGAAGTCTTGACGAGGAAGTGCAACTGCTGCCTGTTGGTTCGCGCCGGCTGGAGCGCCTGCAGGCTGCGCCCGATCGTGTTGCTGGGCTCCAAGCATGGCTCGATCGACCAAGTGCCCAGGGGCTTGCAACTCATCTGTATGGCCCTGCAACACCTTCTCAGGCAGGGTTGGCACGATGGACAAGGGGGCCAACTGGATGTACCTCTGAACTGCCATTGAACTCCAGCGGCCCAAAAGTTGGATGTGTTGGGTTGCCACACCAGCGCTGGCCAGAAATTGAGCGCCGGAAACACGAAGGACGTGTCCCCCGAATCGAGGCTTCAACTGCCCCCTTTCGTCGGGGCGGTCCAGCTCCACACCTGCTGCCCGGATCACTGATTGGAAAGCCGCTACCATTCGCTGCTTCGAGGGTGTCTTCCCATTCTCGTCAGGAAACAGAGGAAAATGCTGTTGAAGTTTGTAGCAAGGATGATTGTAGACCCGAACCAGGTGGCGCTCTACACAATGCCAAGGACAAAGTCTTGCCAAGGTGTCCTTGCACGCGCAACCTAATGCCCTTGCCAGCAAGTTGCCAGCGGACTCCGACTTGTGGACTGGCACCAGGAGGTGAGCCAAACCACTATCTAGGTAAAGGTGATGTACTTGCGCTGAGGACATCTCAAGCTCGCGGAGCATCCACCAGACCCCAATGATGACCATGTCAACACAGTGCGCAACATCGTTCAAATCGAAAGGATCGTCGCCATCAGAAAAGGTCAGGGGTTGCAGACGCCAGACATCAAAGGCTTCCTTGAGACGTGCTGGTCCCAAGCCTCGTTTGACTGATCTGACAACCTCTTTGATCGTGCCGCGCACCAGCGGATCCACCTGGAGGCCAAGCTGCCTCATCTGATACCCCATTGCTGCTTGGTAGTACAACTGGGCACTGCGATAATGCCCTGCTTTCAGGCTAGCGCCTGTGCAACGCACTGACTCAATAGTCAATGGGAAGGCCACCACATCCCATGCCGCGCAAAGTGCCCGGTATGTGCGAATCCTCGATTCTTGTGCAGGCTGGGAGCTTCGTGAAAGCACATCTGCTTGCAATGCATCAAGCGCCCTCTTTCTGTTGTTGGGGGAGGCTGCAGCGAGAGCAAGAGTGAACGAGGCTCTCGTGGAAAAATCCCTACAAATTGGATGGTCAGCACGGCCCTGAGGTGCATCCGGATTGTCCAAACCACCGCGGGCAGCCAGAAATGCCTCTATGTCACTTTGGGAAACTCCAGCCGCTAACAACTCAGGCGTGCGTCTCACGACGTCATCGACAGATCTGATCCCATGGTTGACAAACGTGACGGCCAGGTGAGGCACGTTGGCCCGTCGCAGCGTTTCCCACACTGCGTCTAAGGGCTGAGCAGCCATTTGAAACAAAAAACTGTTCGGAGAACATGGAGTAAACACTCCGTCGTGGGATCAACAGCTTCCTTCCGAGATTTGTCAAGTGTGAATCTAGGTGTTTCGGCCCTTAAACAAGGGCTGTTGTAATGGCAACTGGTGAAAACGAACCTAGTGATGCCCGAAGACGGCGGCCACTAAATGTTAGAGGACGATGAGTCCCGTCAACATGCAACTAAAGAAAGGAGAGGAATGGGACAGCTGAGGCAACGGCAAAGGGAATTACACCAACCATGCAATGACCGACGACTGAAACTCTACTTTTGTCCCACCTGAAAAGGTTGCGATCAACACAGTCAACTTGTATGACCGTGTACATGCCCGACCAGGAATCAGCAATTGAAAATTGAGAAGCTCAAATAGGTCTGCAATGGTCGACCAGTGCACTGCTTAAGCCCGACTGTCATGGTATACTCAAAGATGAGGCTTGGTCTGGCCACGGTGCTTTTCCCAGCTGTTTGGTCAGCTTGGTCCCTTTCAATGATCTTCACTTGGGGGTGTCCATTGACCCTGCGCTCGAAGCGCCACCATGGCAACACAAGCTACGCCAAGTCGGCAGCTTCCAGCGAAGCGGTCATTGGATTCGAGTGAGCCGTGGCCGCCACGGCCGCCATGGCTGGGCCTCAAACAATTCTGAAAAATTGGGTCTTGAACCACAATCCCACTCCAAAGACAAATCTATGCACATTCATGCGTTCTGTTGTCACATCGCATTTTGGATGCTATTCCACTACACTCCACTACACTAAATTACACTACACTACACTACATTACACTACACTACACTCCACTACACCACATTACACTACACTACACTCCACAACACTACAACTACAACTACAAAACTACACTCCACTACACTCCACGACACTAAACTACACTACACTCCACTACACTAAACTACACTACACTACATTACACTACACTACATTACACTACACTACACTCCACTACACAACTACACTCCACTACACTCCACTACACTAAATTACACCACACTACACTACATTACACTACACTTTACTCCACTACTACACTACACTCCACTACACTACGGCCTACACTCCACTACACTCCACTACATTCCATTACACTCCACTACACTAAATTACTATACACTACACTACCCTACACTCCACTACACTACATTACACTACACTACACCAAATTACACTACACTACACTACATTCCACTACACTACACTCCTTCCACACACTTCACTACATTACACTACACTACACTCCACTACACTACAACTGAACCTACGACTACACAACTACACTCCACTACACGAAATTACACCACACTACACTACATTACACTACACTACATTACACTGAATGACACTGCACCACAGATAGACAGGTAGACAGATAGACAGATAGATAGATAGATAGACAGATAGACAGGTAGACAGCTAGACAGATAGACAGATGAAAGAGAGAGAGAGAGATAGATAGATAGATAAGATAGATAGACAGACAGACAGATAGATAGATAGATAGGTAATTAGAAAAGAAAGATAGATATATATGATAGATAGATACATAGAAGATAGATAGGTAGGTAGGTAGGTAGGTAGATAGTCAGAGAAAGAGAGAGAAAGAGAGGAGACCTCAAGCACCTTTCGGTCCATCAGTGGATTCGCTCTGCCATCCCTGATTCACAACAACCAATCTCTCCTATACGTTTCCTATTTTTGAAACTTCCGCCACCGCCTTGTGCGGTACTACTGGTAATGGTTTTCATTACCTTAATTAAAAACAATATTAAATGTACTTACTCTTTGCAATTCTTTACGTTTCTTTCCATTTTTCCATTTCTTTCCAATTCTTTTCATTTTCTTACAATTTCTTCAATTCTTTTCAATTCTTTCCATTTTTTCTTACAATTCTTTTCAATTCTTTTCAATTCTGTTCAATTCTGTTCAATTCTTTCCATTTTTCTTACAATTCTGTTCAATTCTTTTCAATTCTTTCCATTTTTCCATGTTTCTTACAATTCTGTTCAATTCCTTTTCAATTCTTTTCACTTCTTTCCATTTTTTCTTACAATTCTTTTCAATTCTATTCAATTCTTTCCATTTTTCTTACAATTCTTGTCAATTCCTTTTCAATGATTTTCATTTCTTTCCATTTTTCTTACAATGCGTTTCAATTCTTTTCAATTCTTTCCATTTTTCTTACAATTCGTTTCAATTCTTTTCAATTCTTTCCATTTTTTCTTACAATTCTTTTCATTTTTTTCAATTCTTTTCATTTCTTTCCATTTTTCTTACAAGTCGTTTCAATTCTTTTCGATTCTTTCCATTTTTTCTTACAATTCTTTTCAATTCTTTCCAATTCTTCTGTCAATTCCAAAGAATTGTCCAAAAATAGAAGAATATGAAAAGAATTGCCAGAAAAGAATTGAAGAATTGCCGAAAACTTTTGAGAATTGACGAAAAAGAATAGAAATAGATTTCTATTGTTGTACGCCACAAGCGGCTTCTAAAAACAGGTAAGCAATATCTTGCAATGGCTCTAGATGGCTTTAGATGGCTGCAGCTTTAGCCGGACATCTCCATGGCCGCCTTTGTTTTGAGAAGCCTTGCTACATTCGCCGCAGAGAATTGCCGCGAAGTTCCCGGTCCACGCTGGGGCACCTGGAGATGAAATGATGTCGAGAGAAACTATATAGATGCGAAATGGATCCAAACAATTGAGAAAGAGCGGTTCCCAATGACTGTCACAGACTTGAAACAATGAAAAGGCCCAACAAGCTTGAACATCGCAAAGCATACGAATACTCAGCAAATCCTGGCAGCCTACAATTTGCTGCAATTTCATTGGAAAGCAACAGCACGCCACTTCACTGCACTCTGCCAGCCTGCTGCGGGCACTTGGTACCAGCGACCAGAATGTAAAACCCAGAGGGTCAAGTGGCCTCTGCTGCCAAGCTGAAGCAAAGAAGTTGACTGAAGCGCGAAGGTCTCGCAACAGAATTGCCTGCAGCTTCCCCAGCAATCACAATGCTGCTGCCATGCGCTGCCATAAAAGGTCGGCTGGATATGACCTGTTTCAACCAGTTCAGGGCTTTCACTTCAGGGCATGCGTAATGTCACTGGCATCTCACAGCATAAGATCCAAATGAAGATCCTACTGATCCTTGATCCCTCCTCAATCCTGATGGCAGCCGCGCAGCGTCTCTTTCCGCGATGTGTGGAGCTCTGGCTCCCTATGCCCAAAGGAAAAGGGCAACAACTCCAATTCATCACCCTTGAGCTCATGGTGACATGTGGCACCCCATGTATTCAAGGGGCACAGGAAAGTTCAGGAACACCAGAGAAAGAATAGCCAGAACATGCACATAATAGCATTTTATAACCACTTCATGCCCGCACACCAATGCGCACGCACACGCATTTCATATGTATGTAACTATATATATATTATATATACATACACACATAATAAATATATATGTGTGAAAACACAATATAACAAACAATAAATATATTATTTATATTGTGTTTTTTCTGCGTGTGCGTGTGCGTGTGCGCGTGCGTGTGTTGGTGAACCTTCTCAGTGGATGAACCCATGCAACAATGCGCTATGTTGGTGGACCTATGGCAGTTCACACACGTTGATTCCCTTTCTCTATGGCGGCCCTGGCTATTAGCCTGGCTATTAGGTCTATATGGTCTCACAATGTCTCACATGTCTACACTTGTTTGAGTGTGACAAAGCGTGACGCTATGTGACAATGAGGCGTGCAATGGCATGCATTAAAATAATTTGCTCTTATTTGCCTTTACAATCCTTTACAGTTATCAAAAGCTATCACAGCTGTGGTAAGCTGCAGCCTTTGCAGCATCACATCTACTAGATCTATTAGCAGCAAACAAGTCAGCAGTCATTAGGTGTCTCCAAGACAGAATAACGATGTGAGCTTCGCCCAAGCCTTGGAGAAGTGCCGATCCCTACAATGTGTCATGCAGCAAATGCAGGGGATGAATGTGGGAATTGGTCTGGAACAAACATTGCATTTCTTTGCATTTCTTCGCATTTCTTTGCATTTCTTTGCATCCTCAGATCGGCTGCAGGATCTGTCTTGGGACTAGGCGTTCTTCGAATTCTTCGGCATTCCTGAGATTGAATGGCCAAGGTCAGATCATTGTCCAATTAGCTTCGAAACGATTGTAACTTATGAAAACCATCCTCTCACTTCAAGTGTTGCTACTGTACCTGTTTTGGCCAGGACAATCTGTTTTCTGCTGACTTTTCAACACAAAACCATACAAAACCCATCGTGCACGTTCGTGCACACCAAGCCCGCGAAGGATCTGCCAGAACTGCATGGACGTCCATGCTCCGCGCAGAACCTTTCAGTCGAGTGCAGCCATCAAGAAATTCCTGCGGTGTCAAGCATCGGAGTCCACACTGTTTCGTCCTCTCCACTGCTCCAAAAACCATGTCTTTTTGCGTTGGCTTGTAATACGGATGCTACCAGTGGTGCAGGAAGCTGAAACTGCCAAGTCTTCTGCGTGAAGTTGAAGAACGCATTTCAACTGCGATTCTGCAGGTTCATTCTTGGAATCAAATTGTTCTTGAAGGCGACTGAACATGCGTTTTGTTTGTTTGGACCGCGGCTGAAAAGGTCTTAGCGAATACTGTTAAAAGATCTTCAAGAATTGAAAAGGTATCTGAAAAACGACGGAAAATGCAGTCATCCCGAAATTCAATGGATTTCAATGAGCATCAAATGGAAAGGGATGGGCACTGGACACAATGAACATCTGTGGCAAACAAGACAGACATGGGCAGCGCTTTTCGAGGATTGGGCATGGGATGGGGTGAAAAGGAAACAACAATCTTGAAAAGAAAAGTGTTTCATGAAATTATTTGTTAGTTAAGTTGGCAGCTGTATTTAAACTATGCGGAAGTAAATGGAATCAACAATGAGATACATGGGCCGCTTGAGGAGCAAACCTAAGAGAACCAGTGGTGGAAGAATCTGTGTTTGTTCGGCCTTGTATGTACACACACATATATTATGCGTATATATAATATGCACAAGCACAAAACCGGCACCTGAATAGATGGGCATGTGAATAGGCACCAGATTTCAGATGGAGCAGAGCCGCTTACTGGAAATCACTTTAGTCTCAACAGGGCCCTGCTTTTGGATTTGGTGCGAAACCCTGAAACATGGCATATTCTAGAAAACCCATCACTTCCAGCTTACCCTTCAAAAATTGCAATAGGATAACTGTACGCGCCTACAGTCAACCACTTTACTCGCCATAAACTACCATATAGACAGGTATGCAGCCGTAGAACATTTGAATATTAAAGACTTGTTGTGGACCGCTTTGTATCCATGGACCATTTCATTCCTAGAATATTCCTAGACATTCCTAGACCATTTTAGTAGATTTCAGTATTGGAAGATCTGAAGGCCGCTGAGAGGTTGTTAAACTCCTACTTGCCATGGTTGAAGTTTCTCAGTCATAGTCACAGCACGTCATACAAGTAGCTGAAATATGCTGAAATACAGTCTGTTGCCGGCCTGCATGCTGATTGAGTCCGACTCATCAGTGTCCAGCAAGTCGAACAACATGTCCTGCTCAAGAGCTGCTGAACTTTCGATTTTGCGGTGACTTGGGGTGAATCGCTTGTGATAACTGCAGTCACTTTCATGATCTTTCATGGCTTCATACTACCTGGTAGTTCGGGATCTTTTCTGATACTGTGGAGGACGAGGAAAAGACACCCGTGGTCACCTACAAAATCCTGCAAATACCTGTGCTTAAAATGGCAACAAACCTTCCAAACACACAATGGGCATACAATGGGCAGAATGTCGCAAAGTGAGGTTTGTTCTGCAGTCTTACTGCAGGGTTGTGAGGGGGTCCTGTCTAGCATGCCCTGTCATGTCCCTCCCCTCTCGGTCCGCATCGTTTGTATCAAAGCCCAAAACACGGAAGTACGCAGCCAGAGTTGCATCTTCCAGCATTTCCCTCAGGCAAGGCGTTGGGTTCCATGGAAATGTTGAGAAAATCTGCCACGAGGAAGCAGGTGAGAGTCTTCGACAATCTGCCGGCCTTAACTCGGAACGGCTTACTTCGCCCGATCCATCATCATCAATGGTCCTCAAACAAAGTAAAGGCAATGCTGGATAATGCTACAGCCAGTGATATATAAGCTTCAGGTACAGCGAGCAGCTATATACAATTATATACCACTGCTTCAAACAAAAAGTGCTGTGATTGGAGCTAGGGGTCTTGAAGAGTGCCTTGATCTGGCGGATATACTCTTCCTGCAGGCGCTCCCTGTGGATCAATGGTCACATATGGTCACAGAACCGCATCATCCAATCAAAATTGAATGTCAAACTGCAACACATAGAAATTAAAATAAAGCTAACTGTGTAACGCAGAAGCAGGTCCTTTGTCTCCATCTGCTCTTCGATTTGAAAGTCACGTTGTTGGCTTGCTAACTGCAAGGCATTATCGACAAAGGCTCCTGCACGAGCTCGGCTGTGTATTCCGGTGTTCCCTGCTGCGATTCACTCTTGGTAAAGCTGTTGAAATGGCATGGGCTGACATGGGCTGAGTAGACATCAAGCGGATCCTGTGATCACATTGAGAACCTCAGGCCAAGGGTGAGATGATCTGACGCTGACTGAGTGATGTCTAACAGCACCACCAAGTCGCTCACAAACAGCAGTTCCATGCGGTTCCACAAAAGACCAAGCATCGGACTGCAAGCATGGTAAATGCAACATACAGGAGGAGAAGTGCAGGGGAGATCCTTAGAGATGATCTAGGCAGAGACAGGACCAGAAACACAAAGAAGACAGCTGAAGACAGCTGTTTCAGCTGCTCTTCACCCCTGTTCAAATGCTGTTCAACATGTTCAACACTTCGTCACATCCGAATTTCACCCATGTTCATCGAAATATCATGACAATTCATGACATGTCATAGTCCACGAAGCCAAGAGTCACATCGATCTCCATTAGCAAATCTGAGACCTCACCCCAGCTGATGCCACCGAGCATGGCCTGCACCAAGGTGTACGCCTTCGCAGGTGCAATGTGGCTGCATGTGACTTGAGAGTTCTGAAATCAGCAAGAGTTCTGATGATGTTGTTTTCTATGTTTTTCTATTCTCTCTTGGCTGTGGGCCTTCGCAAGTGCCATGGATGCTCAATGTGCTCGCACATGCTTAGGACCACACTGTCTTGGCCAAAGATCCAAAGCGCTTGTGCATCTGCACCAGCGTTGGATCTGCGCTTGCTTCAACCAACCTAAATTCAAACTGATTTCAATTGATAAATAACTCTACTAGTTTCTATCATTTTCTATCATGTTCTATCATTTTCTATCGCACATCCGGCTCCGCTCTGAAAGACTTCACTTTTTGGATCAGAGCCCTTCCTCTTGAGGCCTCCGCTCAAGCCATGCAGGATTGTCAACCCCAACCCTCGGTCAGACAAAGACTGATAACTGTTGTATGAAGGTCTCGAAATCACAGCTTCTTGGTACCAAACCACAGACACCAGTAGAAATTGATAGAAATTGCATGAATTTACCTATGTAATCCATTCTAATAATTATTATTAGTAGCATTATTGTTATTACTACTATTATTATTATTATATATTGTATATTTATTGTTACTATTGCTATTGCTAATATCATTATTATTACTACTACTAAGTACTATTATTTTATTTATATATATATAGTATGATCACCACTGTTTTAAGCGGGGGGAACGTACCCAAAATGTAAGCTATTATACATTTTTCAAGATGTTTTTGAAGGTATTTTGAAGACCCTCCATACAAAAACGACACCTGGGGGACGTTCAGCGACCAATTTTACATGTAAGGGGGGGTCCCAAAAAATGTCTTACATTTTGGCATGGTCCCCCCCCCCATTAAAGTTGCCTTAAAGGGGTGGTGATATTGTGTGTGTGTACACTGCTATTCACATGCAGAAAACTACAACTGGACATTTGATGACTATGCACGTCATGTTTTCCGAATTCATGCGCCAAAGACTATGCACGTTATGTTTTCCGAATTCATGCGCCAAAGACTACTTAACAGCAGGGGGCTGCAGGGAATGTCATAGTTCTGCAGCCAACGAAGACGGCTATGACATTCTGTGATATCGATCCGGGACGCTGGATCGACGTACCTGCCTAATCATGTCTTTCCATTTCCGCGATGGGATGTGGCTAACCCAAGAACCACCTTGCCGATTAATGATTTGGACCTGGTTTCACCTGTTTATCAAGGATGATGGACTCAGGATTCTATCAGGCATGTACAACCACATCGTCATTGCAGTTCACTTCCAAAAATCAACAGTGTGCATTAGTCATGTGTCCTATACAGACCATGACCTCATCATCCCTAATGGGGAAGAACAATCTTGGCATAGTGTGCCGAATCCGCCCTCTACGGAGGCAGAAGTTGAGCGAGTAGCCATAGGGGCTGCTAGAAGTGATGGCAATAGCCGAAGGGGGGTCAAGGACAATTGAAGGGTGGCATAAGCCGAAGGAGTGCCCAACGGGCGAATGGTGCCCATAGGGCGAAGGTGGCCATGTGCCGAAGGATTTTATTGGCCGGGAACCCTACTTCTTACTGTCATTTTATGAGTTTTCACCTTCTCTTTCAAATCAATTTACAATTGTGAGGACAAGAGATCAATTTGAAGAGATCTAGAATATAGGAAGACCTATCACAAAAGTGTGCGGACACACATAGTTTGTGATGCTCGAACCAAGCAGAATGTCAAACACGGTAGGGACCTTATCGCTGCAGATGTGTGTACGATCTTGATTCATGTTTTCGAGGTTTTCTACTGAGCGAACACTTCAAACCAAATCCAATAATTGAGACCATAGTCTTGTGAAGTACCTCCTTCGCCATAGCTTATTTTCACTGGGATGTGTTAGCTACCGACAGATACAAGGCGCATCTATGGGCTCACAGTGGGCCCCGGTTGTATGTTCACTAGTTGCCCTACATCGAGAGCACACCTACAGCATGCCTTTTGGACAAGCCATTTTTTCTGGAAAACTTTTTAGTTCCTTTCGTTATGTTGACAACCGTCTGCTTTTGGGTCCACAACAACTCACTGATCGCCTTCGACAAACTTGCTTTTGGAATTTGGACTTCTACACCTCGCCCATTCTTTTGGAAGAAGTACAGGGTTTTGATGCACTTGGATTCAACATCAATCCACATCAACGTACCATTACATCGGTATTGCCTTGGGACACAGTGATACGCACTTCCGCTGGTTTTTGGACCTAGAAGCTCCATGTATACAGGTCTCATTGCTCGAACACGTCTAATTTTACAAAATACTTTTCCTCGTGAACTTCAACTTCCTCAAGTTCAAGACCTGCTCGCCCTTCATACCCTTCAGGCACCTAGATACCGCGAATGCATTCCTCAGATCATTTCGATTGCCCGCAGTTTTGGACACAAATGGACCAGACAACAATTGACACCGTTTGACTGAAAAGAAGCCGTTGTAGCTGCATTTTGGTTTTGTGCTTTTCATTCCAATTGCAACCTTGCAACTGTTGCAACTGTTCAAATAAACAAACCAATCTCACACACCAGAGCGGTAACGACACCTGAAAGGACCCCGCACGGATTGTGCAGGCAATCCGGCAAGCCAAGGACGCACGACAATGTCAAACCCGGAACCCCGAGGGAGAAACAGAAACCGAGGAGAAAGGCTTCACCCGTTTTTCTGCAACATCCCACCCAAAACGCCTGGCTCGCAGTGTGATATTTGTTTTTCCGTAATTGATTATTTTCAGTTCTCCAGCTTAGTTTACGTCCGTTGTTTTACTCTATATGGTTCACGGTACTGCAACACACTGGCTTAAGTGTTATATAACTGTGATTTAATCAATCCATTTACTGTTTTTCATCACTGCGTTCTATCTCAACCACCTGACCTACGTGTTCTACGCGTCGGAATCTCAGTTTTTGGCGAATTCTGCCCTTCGTCCATAGACAACTAATAAACGTTCATTTTAAACGGATTTGGAAGAACAAGAATACAATCGATTTGTGTCCATTTCATTTCGTGGTATCCATGTTTCAATTGAAGTGCAGTTCTCTTCACTTTTTAACACTCCAAAGTCATACTGTCCTTGCTCTATTTGTTCCACGCGTCGGCAACCCAGAAGTGTCACCTTCCTTATGAAGACATATGTATATATGTGTATACCGCTCTCCACACGCAAAGTGTTGCGCAATCTGCAACAAACAATTGATGTTCGTGAGGGACAAGGGCACGATAACTTTGGATTGCATCATATTCAATTATTTCGCTAATACAAACTTTGGATCGCATCATATTCAATCATTTCGCCAATAACAATTAACACCTTTTAATCTAACCATGTCCTTTCCATTTCGACTTTATTTATCGCGATTTCTTTGATCTACGTGGTCTACTTGCTCTACACGCAGTCTTTCAGAATTTGCCTTCCATGTGAAGGGGGTGCCCAACGGGCGAATGGTGCCCATAGGGCGAAGGTGGCCATGTGCCGAAGGATTTTATTGGCCGGGAACCCTACTTCTTACTGTCATTTTATGAGTTTCCACCTTCTCTTTCAAATCAATTTACAATTGTGAGGACAAGAGATCAATTTGAAGAGATCTAGAATATAGGAAGACCTATCACAAAAGTGTGCGGACACACATAGTTTGTGATGCTCGAACCAAGCAGAATGTCAAACACGGTAGGGGCCTTATCGCTGCAGATGTGTGTACGATCTTGATTCATGTTTTCGAGGTTTTCTACTGAGCGAACACTTCAAACCAATCCAATAATTGAGACCATAGTCTTGTGAAGTACCTCCTTCGCCATAGCTTATTTTCACTGGGATGTGTTAGCTACCGACAGATACAAGGCGCATCTATGGGCTCACAGTGGGCCCCGGTTGTATGTTCACTAGTTGCCCTACATCGAGAGCACACCTACAGCATGCCTTTTGGACAAGCCATTTTTTCTGGAAAACTTTTTAGTTCCTTTCGTTATGTTGACAACCGTCTGCTTTTGGGTCCACAACAACTCACTGATCGCCTTCGACAAACTTGCTTTTGGAATTTGGACTTCTACACCTCGCCCATTCTTTTGGAAGAAGTACAGGGTTTTGATGCACTTGGATTCAACATCAATCCACATCAACGTACCATTACATCGGTATTGCCTTGGGACACAGTGATACGCACTTCCGCTGGTTTTTGGACCTAGAAGCTCCATGTATACAGGTCTCATTGCTCGAACACGTCTAGAAAAAAAACTAAAAAAAAACCGAGAAAACGTCTCAAGGAAAAGACCAACAACGCCGTACAAAAAAAACGAGCGCACAACACTAAAGATAGAAACCACAGAACGAGCTATTCCCCCCCCCCCACCTCATCCTCCTCCCGCCCCCTACCCTGCTCCTCCCTCCGCCTCACTCCCTCCCCCCTCCACCGCCCGCCCTCCTCCTTACCTTGTTCTCCCTCTTCCACCACCACTACAAGAATCCCGCTCTTTTACCACTCCTTTCCTCGTGAACTTCAACTTCCTCAAGTTCAAGACCTGCTCGCCCTTCATACCCTTCAGGAACCTAGATACCGCGAATGCATTCCTCAGCTCATTTCGATTGCCCGCAGTTTTGGACACAAATGGACCAGACAACAATTGACACCGTTTGACTGAAAAGAAGCCGTTGTAGCTGCATTTTGGTTTTTGTGCTTTTCATTCCAATTGCAACTTTGCAACTGTTGCAACTGTTCAAACGTTTTTCTGCAACATCCCACCCAAAACGCCTGGCTCGCAGTGTGATATTTGTTTTTCCGTAATTGATTATTTTCAGTTCTCCAGCTTAGTTTTATATTTTTTTACTCCGTTGTTCTACTCTATAATGGTTTCACGGTCAAAACTGCCCCCACTCTGGCTTAAGTGGTTATAAGTGTTATATAACTGTGATTTTAAAAAATCAATCCATTTTGTTCTTTTTTTGTTTTGGTTTTTTTTTAATTTTTTTTTTTTTGTTTTTTTTTATTGTATTTTGTTTTTTTTTGTTTTTAGAATCTTTTAAAATAATTTTATCCATTTTACCCTGTTTTCATCACTGCGTTCTATCTCAACCACCTGACCTACGTGTTCTACGCGTCGGAATCTCAGTTTTTGGCGCATTCTGCCCTTCGTCCATAGACAACTAATAAACGTTCATTTTAAACGGATTTGTGGAAGAACAAGAATACAATCGATTTGTGTCCATTTCATTTCGTGGTATCCATGTTTCAATTGAAGTGCAGTTATCTTCACTTTTTAACACTCCAAAGTTATACTGTCCTTGCTCTATTTGTTCCACGCGTCGGCAACCCAGAAGTGTCACCTTCCTTATGAAGACATATGGATATATGTGTATACCGCTCTCCACACGCAAAGTGTTGCGCAATCTGCAACAAACAATTGATGTTCGTGAGGGACAAGGGCACGATAACTTTGGATTGCATCATATTCAATTATTTCGCTAATACAAACTTTGGATTGCATCATATTCAATCATTTCGCCAATAACAATTAACACCTTTTAATCCAACCATGTCCTTTCCATTTCGACTTTATTTATCGCGATTTCTTTGATCTACGTGGTCTACTTGCTCTACACGCCGCTACCTCAGAGTGCCTTCTTTGGAAAGACCTGTCCATGAAGATGCAGGTGCGTATACACCTAATCCCAAGCATGAATTTCATTTTCGAATGAGTTCAACGTTGCTTATATTGACGTGATCTGCTTGCTTCATTAGGCAGTCTTTCAGAATTTGCCTTTCATGTGAAGGCCTTTGTGTGTGTGTACACTGCTATTCACATGCAGAAAACTACAACTGGACATTTGATGACTATGCACGTCATGTTTTCCGAATTCATGCGCCAAAGACTATGCACGTTATGTTTTCCGAATTCATGCGCCAAAGACCAAAGACTACTTAACAGCAGGGGGCTGCAGGGAATGTCATAGTTCTGCAGCCAACGAAGACGGCTATGACATTCTGTGATATCGATCCGGGACGCTGGATCGACGTACCTGCCTAATCATGTCTTTCCATTTCCGCGATGGGATGTGGCTAACCCAAGAACCACCTTGCCGATTAATGATTTGGACCTGGTTTCACCTGTTTATCAAGGATGATGGACTCAGGATTCTATCAGGCATGTACAACCACATCGTCATTGCAGTTCACTTCCAAAAATCAACAGTGTGTCTTATTCAATTTACGTGTTGCAGCGCCTTGCAACCCCGCAATGCTTCGAAAGGCCCATTGATCTCAACATGTTTCAGGGACTTTGAGGCACTTTATCTCAAAATTCTCACCCAGCCAAGCTTCACAGCTTTGGACCAGTCAGCGGCACCAGTGGTCAAAGAGATCGCAAACACGTACACAACAATGGCCTGCCAGACAGGCCGACAGGATCCCACTGCCGCTATTGCCGCAGGGTAACGAGATTGCACGACAACAAAGATGGTTGACAAGTCACAAGGTTTTGAGAAGAAAATCCCTACAAACATGCAGAGCATTGCAGAGCTAAGTGCATCAAAGATTCCAGCATGATAAGGGCCCAAAGTAGCGACTTCCTAAGCATATCAATATCGCATTGCATGTCTGAAACGTTCTGAGACTTCCATAGCATTCAACTCTGGGTTCCGAGCATTGAATCTACTATCCTTGGCAACTCCACGCATACAACGAACAAGACATCAAGCAAGCAAGTACGGCTCAAATGGAAAAGTCCTTGTGCTGCGCAGAATTGCAATTTAGCGCTTGTAAGACACATTTACATGCTGTGCCCTTTCAGTCACCTTGCTTAGAGAGTGCCTCCATGTACAACATGTTTGCCAGGCAAGTTCCAGGGAAGTGCTCGATGCTCATGTTATCCTTAAAATTGGGATAATTAAGTGAAGGAAGTTTAGAAGTCAAACTTCCGACAATATGGACAGATGGAAAAGCAGAGGTGGGAAGAATCAGAGAAGAGAAGAGCAGAAGAGAGAAGATCAGAGAAGAGAAAGGGTGAGAAGAAAGAAGATGCAGGTGTGCGAAAAGGTGGCAAAGTCGCGAAACACTGCGCTTTCCCAATGATTTGTGGCTAGTGCGCGCCGTTGTGGCGCGAAGCACATTTCCAAGTCAAAATGCACAAAACACACCATTCTCGGAACACTTTTGGAAGTTGAGATGTCGAAAAAGTACACGCCATTGTGGCGCGAAGCACTTTTGGACGTTCAGATGTCGTTTCGCGTGGCCGGCGCACGGGATTTTGCACCTTGCCAACAATGAGCAAAACGTGGGCGTTCTGTGGCAGTTTCAAACCTGCTGGCACGCGTGGAACTTTTGAAGAGGATCTGGAAAGATGCATTTTGAGTGGCAGGCGCAGTGCAAGAGACATGTTCATCAGAGATGTTAGGAGGTCAGGGCGCTGATTTCCTGAAAGAGGTTGCATTTTGGAGCATCGGATCTTCAGTTTTGGGAAGATGACACATGCAGCACTTTGTATGACCTGGCATCACTTTTTCGTGGCAGGCGCAGCACTTTACACAGACGGAGTGGAAAAATCGCAAGACGCATTGGCACGAGGCCGTCAGCTCTGCAGTTAACTTTCCATTTTTGAAGGAAGTCTCGCAGAATTGATATGTTTTTGATGTTGTCAATTTTGAAAATTGAGGAAATCTCTCAGATTTGCTTCGTTTTTCATGTTGTCACCTTCGAAAATCGAGGAAGTCTCGCAGAATAGCTGCGTTTTCAAGCTTGCAGATAGACAGATAGATAGATAGACAAGTACAACTACAACTACCACTAGGCCACACCACTACTACAAATACAAATATACTACAGTACGCTACATTACACAACGCTAATTACACTACACTACACTAACTGCATCTAATTACACTACACTACACTACTTACACTACAACTACAACAACAGCTACTACTACCACAGCTACAACTACAATTACACATACACTACACTACACTGCACTACACAAACTACATCGCAGCACACTACAACTACAAATACAAATGCAACTACACTACATTACACAACACTACACTACACTAATTACAGTATATTACACTACAACTGCAACTGCAACTACGATTTCCTACGCTAATTACACTACACTACTCTACAAGTTCACTACTCTACAGTACGCTACACTAGACTACACTACACTATACCACACTACAGTACACAACACTACAGTACACTACAATACACTAGACTAATATGCACTAAACACACCACACCACAACTACAACTGCAACTACGCTACACTAATTATATACATTACATTACAACTACAACTTAAAACTACAACTCCACTACACCGTGATACTAAGTACAATGTACAACCGCAACTACAACTGCACTACACCACACTACATCCAGCAGTTGTGGTGAGGTGACCACTGCAACCATTGCAACCACTCCAAAAAACACAACTCCAACAGCCTTTCGGTCCATCAGTGGATTCGCTGTGCCATCCGTGATTCACAACAACCAACGTCTCCTATAGGTTTCCTATTTTTGAAACTTCCGCCACCGCCTTGTGCGGTATTACTGGTAATTGTGTATGTTCCTGTTCCCTGTTCTTTCATGTTTTGTGGCTGTGTTCCTGACTGTCTCACCCTTAAACTTAAACAGGACAACACAGGATCAACACTAGCATGGGAATCGGCAAGTGACAAGGATTCTACAGAGTAAATGACCGAACTAAAGAGGGAAGAAACAACTAGAAAAGAATGGCAATCCAACCAGATTATGCAAAAATTGCAGCAACGAAATGGATTTAATTAAATGGTGCCACTAGAGAGCATGGCATCCCGTTTTGTAGTTTAATCTTCCACAAGAGTTGTGCTCAGTGCCAAGCCTTTGTTTCTAACGACAAAGTGCCCGAATCTGATCACCATGTCAGACAAGTGTCATCAGAGCTACACGGGCAAGTGCTGAAGAGAAGCGAAAGACTCGGAAGACTCGAATTATTCGGAGCATCTTCAATGTCTTGACCTGGGCCAATGTACTCCCAGGCCATCCACTCCAAGTCTATACCAATCTCGCCAGATTAAGTCGGCGAAGGAATGATCTTCCATCTGCTTTTTATTGGGAAAACCCATCCCTGACTTGCAAAGATTTACAAAGCCAAGTTGCTCCAGCAACCACCTGAGCGATTTGAGCTACCGTGACAGTATGATCAATACGTGACATGATCATGACATCATGACATGGTTGCCTCTGAAATAGGCCTTTGGAATGTGCATTGTTCCTTGAAGATCAATGAAGATCGAATGGCAACCCAATGACACGGCTTGCCGGCTGCTAGATATGCTAGATGTATATAAACAGCTTCGCTGCCAACTTTGCCAAGATTTGCCAAGTAAGTAGCATTTGTCGCTCGCACTTGCTCATCATTGTACAGTAGCAGCATATCGATCAATGACCTTGAAAATCTTGAAAGAGGAGAACTATGGACGAAAGCTCAGCAGCTTTCAAACTCCACAGGAGAAAGAGACTATAGCAACAACACAGGAATGCATGACTCATGCAGAAGTGTCTGAATCTATTTACAGTTCAATGTAGAACTGCTATCAACTGCTTGCATCTTGCAGCGCATCTTGCAGCCAGCCACAGAGCTGCGAGTGCCAAATCAAACAAGTTCCAACTCCTTGCGCCAAGTCAGCGATGGAGAATGGAAGGGGAATGAATGGGGAGCACAGGAGCGGAGTCAGCTGAACTGTCGCTGTGTCGGAGCTGTGGGCTGTCCTGCTTTCTTCAGTGAAAAAACGCCGTCGAAGACCCAAGAGGCGCAAAATGACCTCCTTGCAGATCTTGCAGCTTCAGAGATCTTCAGAGTGGCAATTGCAATTGCTTCAATTTATATTGCTTCCAGGGCTGTCGTAATCGTCACCAGACTGAGGTAACCGCAAAAATGAAATAGACATTACCTTGGCAGCTCAGCATTGCTGTAACATGCTCTAACCAAATCTGAATGACATATCATGACATGTCAATGTAGTAGTGTGATTTACGAAGACATACACCTGGGACACCTGGGCCATGACATGCCATCACTGTTTTCGGTCACTTGCAAACTAGGGACAGGCCAGCATCAAATTTGACAACACATCGGGCGTCCTTGGATCGAAAGGAGACAATGAAATGCAGTTAAATAGCTGGTGCTGGAGTTGCTTTAAGGTCTCCTCACCTGCATATTAATTCAGCAAAAAAGCAGCCATATTCAGCCTAGATTCGTCAGTGAAATGGTCAGTGTCTCGGCTTCCCATGCCATCAGGAAAGAATTCAAGATGATCATCACCTCAGGATTCGGGGACGCACAAGGTCACCGGTGATGTTTGAGGAATCCAAGGAGAACAGGAAATCATTTTTTGAATATATCAAACCATTAAAGTTTAGAGTATTTTAAATTACATCTGAGCGCAAGGGTGCAAGCGATCCAAGGGACTGCGGCAAAGCTGTCGAAGACGGGATGCCTTAGGCAACAACCAGGTTTAGATTCGCACTCTGCAAGTCCTTCATGATCCAATAAGCGAGATCTGGGCTGCGCAATGCCGTGCAATGCCGTGCATACACATTAGATGAACTCTTGCCACATCATCTGGCTCAGCTTTCTCCTTGCGTAAGCCTGCCAAGTTCGCACCTACAGTATTTTGTCGTCAGACCATGGTCAGAGCTACAGTTGGTTTCTTTCCACTGGCTTCAGCTGAACTCTCCATTGCATCAGTGCCCAATGCTCTTTACCGTTTGTGGCTGCTTCCGACATTGTACATGTGCTATCATGTGCTGGAAGGCCACAATCACGGGCTGTGCTGCTTTCCTGCACCACCTCTATCTTTGCTGCTCGCCTATGTAGGGCTGTGGGACCTCTCTCTCTCTCTGATGAAGGCGAGCCAAAGCTGAAACTTGGCTGGTTCGTCTGCTGGGCACGTCATACAATATTAAATTATATAATCATTGATTATTCATGATTATTCAGAATTGGAAGTGGAACTGTCCTTTCTCGACAGTGTCTATTTTCTTTTGGTCCTACATGGTCAAACATTACTATGTCCAACGATGATCAAACAGTAAGTATCTTGTGATGCAATCGGGCGCGCGTGTCTGGGCCATGGGCGGCCATGGGAGCATGTCTCTCTCTCTCTCTCTCTCCATCGGCATCTCCGAGAGCTTAGCCAAGGGCTAAAGGAGAGCCATTGGCCCAATGCCCAGAACATCCCAGAACTAATGTGTCAGGGGGGCATGTCCATTGTGGGGTTCCCGTATTGTTATGTATTGTTGACATCAATGTTTGGTGATGTTCGGTGTAATGTCATGTTGTGGCTGGAAGGCTGGTGCTGGATGAGGCCACTCCACGCTCTTTCAATTGCTGTACATTTTACGGCGTTTACGGACTCTACAGCCACCAGATGCCACCAGAATCTTTTGTTAGTGCCATTCCGACATGATGTTCTTCCATGTTCTTCCATTCTTAGCAGGTTCAACATTGGCGGTTGGTGTTGGTCTGACAGGCGTATCATTACCAAATTCGCGTCGTTGCCATTTGATATCATATCTGTCGGCATCTGTCAGCTATTATTCAATTCTGAGCAGTTGCACGGTCCCGTTTGATGTTCAGGCTCTCGCGTGAAGGTCACTAGGGCTCAGACTGGACTATGCGCTTCAAGCTCATTTCACTCTTGCCCTCGGTCTCAATGGTGAGAGAGCGAGATAATGCTAGGATCCTTTTCCTTCAGGCACCGAGCAAAGCTCACCCATTTATTCGCAGATGGAATACATCAAGCAATTTCTTCCATCAACTGGGGCACCGTAGAAATGACGCGCATGTTGCATTGGAGGTGAACAATACAAGCAACCCATTGCCGGACTTGTCAGTGTCCCAGTGTCCTGCTTTTCCTCTTGAGACCAACCTGCTCAACGTTCTGCTGGAGTGCCTGTTCTCGTCCCATACTCACAGCTTCGGTGATCTTCGGTACGTCAAATTCATTAAGCCTCTGCAGCACCAGGGCCTGCTTCAGTCTTGCCACTCTACTTTCCTGTCGAAGCTCTTTGGTGCTGACTGACATGCTGGCAGCCCACCCCGCAATGAACAAAACAATGGATATCCTGTGCAAATATCTGTGCGCGGGCATATGAATGTATATATGCTATACATATATATATACATATATATAGGTATATAATGATAATATATAGATTGTTTTAATGTATACAAAATGTACATTAACAATGCGCGTAAATATGTGTGTCCTGAGCTGGCGCCCGCATTGTCCTTGGAATGCTTCCAGACTTCCATGCTATACTCTGTCTCAGACTTTGACTCTGCAAACAAGTGCTTCCAAGCAACTCATCATTGTTGCCCGTCTCCTGCATGACATGATTACGCGATGCATATGTGACTGAACAAAATCAGCTGCAGGCGGCAATGCGTAGTGATAGATAGTTGGCGGTGTTATAGCCTCTATACGGTATACGCATCTGATTTACGACAGCTTTTACAAGTCACGGCTTGAGGTTTCCAAGTGTTTCCACATGTTTCCGCAATTCGGCGCCTCGCCTCCGCCAAATCGCTTCGCACACTATGCACACTTTCATCTGTCTCCAAGGCTTCAATTGTGATCTCCCCGCATGGAAGAACTGCTGGTTCTTGTTCTGAGCGCGGACCTCACGCTCTGAGGATCTATGTCAAAAGATGTCAAAAGGAAGGTCTGACAGTGAAACCAAATGAAACCAGGTTGATGTTTCTCAAACGAAGCATGCACTGGAGTGGAAGCATGCAACGGTGTGCAAGCACATCTAGCAATACTCCTCCAAGATTTCAAGAGTTTGCGGCAATTGGTGCAAATGGCGGCTACTAGTAGCGTGTAAAGCGTGTCTTCAGGTTGTGCGGTTGTCACTTCTCATAGCGATGTACGAGCCTGTAATGGATTCTAATGAAGGGAGCTGAAACTTCAGAACGAGAGAGGTTGGGTCCATCTTTTGCCACATGCTGCAACCACCTGAACATCCAAGATCACAATAGATCATCTAAATCGATATAATTAATATATAATTAATATTATATAATTAATATTATATAATTAATTGAAATTTAGAGACGCGATCTTCTTGTACCTGGCTTAAGATGCTGCCAAGACTCCCCATGGATCTGCAAAGCCCAGTTTTGACTGAGCCCTGCAGAACCTAGCCGTTGTCTCTTTGCATCCGGTCCAAAAAGACTGAGAAAACCAAACGCATGTCACAACATGGCAGTTAGAACCAATGCACACTAGAAAATCTAGAAATAGAACTGCACTTTTGAGCTGTTGGAAGCATCATGCAAAATCATATGCAGCCAAAAATCGAGGGTCTGCTCAGCAGAGCCTCGCCAACGGCCTCTTCTGCCACGTCGCTGCAGCCAGTCGCCTGGCTTCGGGGAGAGACTATGAGAGACTCCTAAGATTTCGGCTGCGCAATCTGTATTGCAAACTTGTGCCACCATTCTAATGATTCATGACAAAAAAAAAAATGTTCTGTAATGTTCTGTATGCATAAGATTGTATAAGTGAATTTTATTATATTTTATTATTGAATTTTCAAAGAGTTGCTGTTTTTGTTGGTAGCACCTCGGGGAGAATGACTTGGTCAAGCTGCCGCCTCAAAGCCTGGCCGCCAAAGTGCTGAGTTCATTTTATTTGTATATATTAATTATATATTATATATTATATATCTTATTTGTCCGTGATTTTATGATATTTTATGTGCATATATATGTATATGTGTGTGTGTGCGTGTGTGTATCTATTCGTATTTATGCATGCATGCATCAAAATAATTACAATATAAACGTGTATATATATATAATTATATAATTATATACGTATTGTAATATAGACATCTTGATGTATACCGATAAACCCTTGTTTTGTGGCGGTTTGCGTTTGTGTGTGTTCAAATGTGTTGACCACATTCACGGTGACTATTAGAACAGTCTGTCCCCAGTTCATCGTTGCAAATCATGGTCAGACCTCCATCCTTTCGCATCACCTGTGAACAATGCAGACCGCTTGCCTGAACCTCGTGATGATGAACAGCCACCAACTGAGCAAGAACCTGGGGCTGCTTTTCAAATCTTTTCAAATCTTTTCAATATGTTTCAATGCATTCCAGTTGGACACGCTTGGAACTTCAAACTGTCCCTCTCACACCCACCCTGCGACCAGGCAGCAGAGTCAAACGACTGGCGGTGTGGAGTCATGGCTTGAAAGATTCACCAAGCATGGCCAGCCCAGATGCTATCTGCAGAGTCCATGTCGTGCGTACAGTAGTGTTTATATATGTGGAGTGTTCTGTCATCAATATGGTGTTCCCTCGCGTCATCACCAGCAAAATGTGCGAAGCATTCACAAACGACAAAGGCATACAATAATTACAAAATATTACAAGTATAGACTGCAAATAGAATGGGGCATTTGCCGCAGCACCCACAGCAACAGTTGCCTTAAAGCCCTGCATGAGGATCTGGTCTTATCAAGCTCTGCATTGGAAGTTGAAAACCCTCCAACCCATTAGCTGATGCTATCCATACATCTAGAGCGTGCCACAAATCCTCTTGAAATGGCAGTGCTAAGATATCCCGCATAAGCACAGGCAAAAAATTGCCAAAATCATGGGTGAAATGAACAGGTACTTTGTCAGGACCTGGAAGTTTCTTGGTGGAAAGCTGCGCGGAGCACATGGAGGGCCATTGAATGGTCTCACCTGAGCTGAAGACTTGAGGATTTAAATCACCATCGGTGAAGGCTCAGGAAATCCGGGTGAATGAAGTGGGATGAAGTGGGATGAAGTGGGATGAAGGGATGCACTGCGATGCACTGGGATCCAGTATGCTGCAGCTGCAGTATGCCGCGACTTTCTCTTGAAATGCGCTGCAATGCGCTTCATTGCCCTGCCTCCGCCCAAACTGCTGGAGTCTTTCGGACATCGAGTGCCCAAACCTTGAATCTTTCGGCCATGCACTCTCTCACTCCGTGCTAGTCTCATCATTTCCTATCGCAACGAAATCGCTTTCTGCAAGTGCCGTCAGGTTGCATCATGCAGAGTCGAAGAGGCATGTGCTCCTCCATACACCACCATCGTGCCACTTTCGGTGATTACCTGGCATTGCTTGGCCAAGTTTGATTTATTGCAAATCAATGAGTCGCAAGTACAAAGACTTGAAATGTGTCAATGGTCTGTCGGTGCTTCCATGAAGAAAGTATATAAAAATGGTGTGGTCGATCTCATGAAGAAATTGAACTAACGACTCAGCCATTGCGCTTGCATCCCAAATAAAAATGGAATGTGGGTAGCTGGATTTGATTGGAAATATGCGCCCCTGCATGGCAAGGCACTTCCATTTGGGATCATTTGGGTATCTGCAAGGGCCACTACTAAAGGGGAAGCCGACATTCACCGCAAAAATCGCTGAAATGTATTGTACCCTCTGATAATTTCAGATAATTTAAGATGGCTATGGAATGTTGAGATGCCACCATCTCACTGGGTAGGGCAGGAAAAAACCTTCTTTGAAGGGGAAAAAAAACCTGCCAAAGTACGGGAACCCAAAGCTGCACACAAGTAGGGCTCACCAAAAAAGGATAAAAAAGGTATAGGATATTATAGGATCAGAGAAACTTACGATCTTCGACTGACCGGTACTGCGGTAAGCCCCTTGGGGGCCACGGGTGAGATGCAAAGGGGAAGCTCGAATCCAAGCCCGAGCCACCGAGCCAACCACATGAATCAGTGTCACTGATGTCACTGATGTCACTGTGTCAAGTAGAGTTGGACACAAATTCGTGGAACGGGACTGAATTGTGGCAAGAAATCCCAATGATTTAGTGTCCTCTAAGTGGTGGGTGGATATGAGTGGATGTGCCATGTTTTTTTCCAGCATTTTTTTCGGGACGACTTCCAAGATCTTTTATGAATCCCAAAAGCCACCACCCGTCTACAACAGCTTGTTGTATCTTGCTTAGCACCACTTCCAAAGAATGGCAACGTTTCCGAAAGGATCAATTCCGTTTCTACACTTGAGGTAAAACTACATCGTGACAAGACATACCCTTTTTTACCCAAACAATTTTTCAGCTGAAACTTTCTTGAACTACCCAGATACTTAATAGACGATGCTACTGAATCATGTCAAGGACCTTCCTCATATTTTTTGACTCCCCAAAGCCAGCCAGCACTCCTTTAAAACAGCTTTTTGTATTGAACTTAGCATCACCTCCAAATAATGACAAGGGTTCCGAACAAGAAGAAGAAGAAGAAGAACAACAACAACAACAACAAAAAGAAAAAGAAGAAAAAGAACCAGAAGAAGAAGAACAAGAACAAGACTAACAAGACCGAGCAGAAGAAGCAAAAGAAGAAGATGAAGCAGAAGAAGAAGAAGACTGAATGACGGAAAGAAAGGAAAGAACGGACAGAACGAAAAGAACGAAAAGAACTGAAAGAACGGGTGAAAAAAACAGAGAACATGGAAAGAACGGAAAATGTGAAGGAAGGAAGGAAGGAAGGAAGGAAGAAAGAAAGGAAGACTGTAAAATGAAGCAGGAAGAAAGAAAGGAATACTGTAAAATATCATCCGCTCTCAATAAAGTCCACTCTTCGAAGATCCTCTCCCTCACCCATGAGCCCAACAACAAAGGAAAATCAAATGCAGATTCATGTCTTGTCAATTTGTCAAAACTCAGTTGGATTCATGACTCATGGCCTGGAACAAGGTTCGCTGAAAAATTGCGTTTCTACAGTCCCCCTCAATTGTTTGGGGAGAAGGTTACACACATAGTAGCATGTAGTAGCCAACATCAGGTGCGGTGACACAGGACGCAGGTGAAAGAATAGCAAATCTCTGCTTGGAGTCTTAGAGTCTTGGAGCGCAAGATTTGACCACCCTTGTAATCAAGGTGCGTAGGCCCAGGTCCATATACACATTTCATAAAATGTATCAATGACGTCTTTGTTTGTCAGCTTGCGCATGTCCTGTGAGAGTCCCAATTCTTGCAGGCATGACCGCACAATGCTGTCCTCTGGCTTGAGGTTTCTGACCAGAAGTGAGCAGTTCCTTCAGCAGCAAGTGATGACAGTGATGACTGACAATGAATTAGTATAAATGTTATAAGTTATAAGTTATAATTATTTTGATTTCTGCTCATCCCCCCCGATTTGCCTTCCAGCCACATCGATGCCGATGCAGCTGCGCAACAAATACGCCTTGGGTTCAATCGAGCGTTTGCCATTGGAAAACGCACACTATCCCCTCTTCGATCCTTTGAGCATTTTGATCTGACCATTGCATGACATTATACCTATCCCTTCCTGTCCGAGAGGCTGTTGGAATAAATGTAGGGGCCACCAACACAGCGTTGACCACCAAATAAGTACACCTCGTCGGAAAAAGCATCGTGCACGAGCGAATGGTAAGCTCCGCGGATAGGGAGTTGTTGAAGAGCGATTGGTGGTTCGGCAAAGGTACCAGAACTGGGGCAAAAGTGCCACACCTCGTTGAAATTGCAATTTTTGCTGAAGCCCCCGCACAGCATGACCCTGAAGTCTGTGGGTCTTTTCAAAGCATGTTTTTCCAGGACACATGCTGAGTGTCCCCATCTCCAAGTGGGTGCCACACTGTCTTCCCCAGGCGTCAAGTCATCCCACTGTAGAGAATGTAAATCCAATGCGATCAAAGATATTTTCACTTGCTCAACTGGCCTGTAGCCACCGATGCACCAAAGCACATTAGCACTTGCCACGATTTGATGCCCAAAGATTTGCTCAGGCTTTTCAAGCTCAGATTCGTTTGAATGTAGGTCAATTTTTGTCCATTGTGGCTGTTGGAATGTCTGAGACACCGAATGGCAGAGACGTTGCTTCTTGGCATGTGCCCGTCCCATAACTCACCAAATCTCACGCAAGCGCAGGCTGACATGGCTTGGCTGAAACTGTTACCAACGTGATCTGACATATGGGGACCCATATGGCTGAGTGTGGCTATGCGCCTGAAGGCCTGAAGTGCTGTCCTCCAAGGCCAAAAAACTGAATCTGTAAAGTCTGTAAAGTAATGGTAAATGTTGCTGTTGGATGTTGTCTTCCAGGTTTGCAACTGACCGCATCATGATGACTATCTGTCGAACCTGAAAAGAAAAATAAGCAAAAGCCCATCAAAAGGCCCTAGTTCAAAGCTTCTAAAACGGCCAACGGCTACACAACCCATAGCTAGGCCACATCTCACACCTATGGATGCCACAAGCATGGGGCGAGAGAAGTCAGGAGAGGCGAAACCTCTGGTGTTCTTGCGATAGCACGATCAGTGACCTGATCAATGGCTAGGCCACATGTCGGACATCTGCTCAATGATCAGAATGGCACTCAGGTGCATGCTATTGACATGTGTTGATCAAGTTGACACTGCAGTGCAGTAAGGTCCATGCAAACATCTTGTTTTCAACTACCTGTGCTCAATGATATCCGATGTTCAACACATGCGGATGATGGTCCCAAATGGCTCGGAGGCATCAGCTGTTCAGTACTCCCAACGTTTTTGGGTGCCTGTGCCAATGGAGGTAAAGTTTCCGGCAAGACTGCCTCATGTGGATGGAGGGTCCATCATTCTTTTTGTTTGCACCACTACTAGTATCTCATGCTGCATCACGGGAAGTCATAGAAATCAATGCTTCCTTCCAAAGACTGTCCAGAATGTTCCAGAACTACACCGCACTTCAGCAACCTTTCCCATGCACTACGGGGATGAAACGGGATTCGAATAGAGCGCAACATCTTCACATTGTGATACATTGCGTCAGTCCCCTTGTATCTTGACTCAGCTCCTAGCAGGTGTTTCTGCAAGCCTGAAAACGTGGTCGAAACGTGGTGCAATTGCCATAGGACCAGATGCAACTGCCCAACAGGGATACAACATCACAGAAAGGGAGGAAGAAGTCAAGTCACTTCAAGCCACTTCAAACGTATTCAAACGTGACATCAAAGGGACGTCATCAACACTTCTGACTGCAAGCTGGATACAGAGTTGTGTAGACGATGGCCGTCTCTGGGTCGAGATTGGGCACCTGTGGAGAAATGGGCACATGCAGAATGACATCCTGGACTTACATGGAGTTACTGCGCTATAATTTAATATAATTTATATTTATTAATATATCTACATGTATGTATGTATGTATGTATGTATGTATGTATGTATGTATGTATGTATGTATGTATGTATGTATGTATGTATGTATGTATGTATGTATGCATTAGAAATTATAATTATATAATAGATTGTTGTTTTATATGCTTCATTGAGTACTGTAACATGTCATTCAATTCATTCTATATATGAGCACTGCATTCTGCGTAGCGCTTTGTTTGCTTCGGCCAGCTGAAGCAGGATTCGATAGGATTCATGAATAGATGATACAAGCACAATCCGAGAACCACCTCTGCCGCTAAGCTGTCGATTGCAGCTTGCGATGGTGGGTTCACGGAGACATCCACATAGGCAGTCCTTGGGAACTCTCCAATCACCTCTGCATCCTCTACTTATCTGCTTCTGCCCTCGTGTGATTCAAGTCATATTCAAGCAAAATAAGCTAATGAGATCGAGATCCAGACGCAACAGCGCCCACAGCACTCTTCACGGTTCCGACCTCGCAAACAGGTGAAGGCTAAATTGGCCAAATCATGCTAAATCAACTAAATTTGCTGTGAGAGCTTGCTATGCGGCCAACGTGCAATCGGAGGTTAAATCATATTAAATCTGTACCACTGGATCAGGCCCAGACGAGTCTCAACAGGTTCTGGCTTCCCACCAGACCCTGGGGGAGCCTGGCACATGATCAAACCCTCACCACTAGAACCCTCGCGATGTCGAAGCGCCGACCGAAGAGATGGGACAATCAGTAAGTGGCATGACATGAACATAAAAAAAGCAGGGATCTGTTTCCACTGCCTATTGTCAATCCTTCACATGGCATGGAAGCATGGAATAGGTTTCTGCCCAGGTGCTTTGTCTTGATGAAGTTGCGGTCGGAGAAAGCAATGGTCAGCTCAACAGGCTCTGCCTGAGATGGTGTCGCCCTTGACCTTTTGAAATGGATAGGAATGCGTAGATACCAGTACAAGTACCAGCACTGATGGCCCTTATGCTGACCAGCGGCAAATTGAGACTCAAAGTCCTGGATGTAGCTGAACTGGTAACGCCTGATGCTTGAACGCAATCAACAAGAGCCCTAGGTCAAATATGCCCAAAGATGTCCCAAGTGTGCATTGGTCTTAAATACTCTTATATATCTTATATAAATGTATGTAAGTGTTGGTTGAGGTCTGTTCAGGTCTACCTTTCCAATGAACTTTCCAACATTTTCCAACTTCAGGATCAGGACTGCATCTAAGGAATCTAAGGCCGTGTCAGAGGACGATCTTCGCTTCCCCAGCCAGTCATGCTAAACAGGAACTCCTTGGCTTCACTGGTGCCTGTGGAAGGCAAAGTTTCCTGGTTTGGTATCTGAAGCACTGAAGGGCACCCATGGGCACCCATGCATTTCCGTATTGCCATGGGTCTTCAGATAAAAAGCAACAAAACCTGTATCACTTTGGATTTTACGCTTGGGCCGCTTGCTGTCTCCAGGGCATTGCCGGATAGGTTGGACGCCTTCGCAGAAGTCTTGCTTTGTGTCTCATTCTCCACCGGACTGAAAACAGTGTGGACCACCTGATCACCTGGGACCGACCCTGTGATCCACAAACACTTCTTGTCAAACAAAAATGGCCAAGCAACCAAGGCCGCCAAGCTGTTGGTACAACCCCTGAGGGTCGCGCAGTCATCACACCACCTGATGGCGGCAGGCCTGGCAAAAGAGTGGAATGCATCTTGGATGCGGGCAGAGTGATCATGCAAATCCAAGCCCTGCCAAGCTGTAAGTGTTTCCATTTTTTTCCCGGTTTTTCCTAATCCATCTATCACTCCGATACCAGTTACTGGTCAGCTCTCACCCAGCAGAGACCCTGCAACACTCTCCACACTGTTGGCATTTAGGGCCTGTTGTTCTAAAAGTGTACTCAGCATATCCACTGGCGTCCTGCGGTCGACAAGGGAAAATACGCTTTTGTCTGACCCGCACCAAAATACAAGAAACAGTCTGGAACTCTGCCGGAAACTACCCTGCTGTGTGTGACCAATCAACGCAAAATGAGACAAATGGGGTCAAATTGGAACAATCGGGTAAAATTAGGTATGAGCAGTACAGCAAGCGGTGGGATCGTGATCGCTACGAGGTAGTATGCTGAATGTCTTGAACTCCACGAGTCTGCCATTGTGCGCGTTCTGGTGGGCAACTTGGAAAATATATGAATATAGACAGACCGGCAGACAGACAGACAAACAGACTGACCCATCTATCTTATCTATATATCTTATCTATCTCATCTATCTCTCTATATGGGTGCGAGTCAAAAATCGGGTATGGATCGCTCCGCGGTGATCCGTACTATGGATCGGGAGTGCTTACGTAAGGTGCCTGATCCGTACCCTTTCGTAAGGGCTCATCATAGCATACAAAGTGTGCCGATACTCCTACTATCTCCTACTTGCTATTACTTCTCCTCCTGCTACTGTTGCTGCTAAACTGTTACCACTGCTAGTAGAAGGAGCAGTAAAAAAAAAACAGACAGCACCAGCAGCAGTGTGGCAATAGAAGGCGAAGATGCAGTAGCAGTAGAAATAGCAGTAGCAGTAACAGTAGTACTAGTAAAAGTCATAAAAAGAATAATAATCTAACGGTAGTAGCAGCAGCAGCTGCAGTAGTACTAGGAGAATTAGGAGTAGGAGTGGGAGTAGGAGTAGTAGGAGTAGTAGGAGTAGTAGGAGTAGTAGGAGTAGTAGGAGTAGTATGAGTAGTAGGAGTAGGAGTAGGAATAGCAGCAGCAGCAGCAGCAGCAGTAGCAGGGGTAGGCTTAGGAGTAGTAGTAGTAGTAGTAGCAGCAGCAGCAGTAGCAGTAGCAGTAGTAGTAGTAGTAGCAGTAGTAGTAGCAGTAGCAGTAGCAGTAGCAGTAGCAGTAGCAGTAGCAGTAGCAGCAGCAGCAGCAGCAGTAGTAGTAGTAGTAGTAAATAGCAGTAGTAAGTAGCAGTAGCAGTAGCAGTAGCAGTAGCAGTAGCAGTAGCAGTAGTAGTAGTAGTAGCAGCAGTAGTAGTAGCAGTAGCAGTAGTAGAAGTAGAAGCAGCAGCAGCAGCAGCACACGTATTAATAAAAACGGACTTTCATATTGGCATTTGTTGTGGCGTGACTGGGTTCGGGTATGGAACGGGTATGGATCGGGACACGCTATCTGGGCCGGCTTTCCCGCTATGGCTGTGAAGGAAGAGAGCGGGGTATTTCTAGTCTAGTCTAGTTTTACACGTGCCAGGCAAAGCAGAAACAGAAGGAGTTGTAATCACAGCGCCACTAGAATACAAGAAGCACCTAGTGGAAGTCGAACCGACCTTACTAGCCTCCAACGTGCACTTGCAATATTGCTAGTAGCTAGTCAACTAGTTGCATTTGTCCAACTACCAGAAGCAGGAGCAGCAGCAGAAGCGACAGCAGTAGCAGCAGCTCCTGGGAGGAAGATGAGGCAGCAGCAGCAGCAGCAGCAGCAGCACGGAGGCAGCGGAGGCAGCAGAGGCAGCGGAGGCAGAAGTAGCAGCAACGGTAGTAGCAACAGTAGTAGCAACAGGAGTAGCAGTACGTGGACCAGAAGCAGTATTAGGATAAAAAGCAGCATTAGGGCCAGCATCAGCCGTTCTTCAACGGGAAAGGGGTATGGATCAGGGGTATGGATCAAGGGTATGGATCATGCAGTATCATAGGGTATGGATCAAGGTATGGATCGGGGGTATGGATCGTGTGTGGGCCCGGGGCCTTGATCCATACCTTGTATTTTGACTCGTACCCATATCTCTCTCTACCTATCTATCTACCCATCTACCTCTCTACCTATCTGTCTATTTGTCTGTCTGTCTGTCTGTCTATCTATCCATCTGTCTGTCTATCTATCCATCTGTCTGCCTCTCTCTCGGTCTATCGGTCGAACAATCTGTCAGTCTGTCGGTATGTCGGATGGATGGATGGATGGATGAATGGATAGATTGATAGATGGATGGATAGATGGATGGATGAATGGATAGATGGATGGATAGATAGATAGATAGATAGATAGATGGATGGGTAGATGGATGGATTGGATAGATGGATGGATAGATGGATGGATAGATGGATGGATGGATGGATAGATGGATGGAAAGATAGATGGATGAATAGATGGATGGACGGATGGATCGATAGATGGATGGATAGATGGAAAGATGGATGGGTAGATGGATGGATGGATAGATGGATGGATAGATGGATGGATGGATAGATGGATGGATGAATGGATAGATGGATGGAAAGATGGATTGATAGATGGATGGATCGATGGACGGATGGATAGATGGATGGATAGATAGATGGAAGGATAGATGGAAGGATAGAAAGATGGATGGATAGATGGATGGATAGATGGATGGATAGATGGATTGGATAGATAGATAGATAGATACATTGATAGATAGATAGATAGATAGATAGATAGCTAGATAGCTAGATAGCTAGATAGCTAGATAGCTAGATAGATAGATAGATTAGATTAGATTAGATTAGGTTAGATTAGATTAGATTAGATTAGGTTAGATTAGATTAGATTAGATAAGATTAGATTAGATTAGATAAGATAGATAGATAGATGGATAGATAGATAGATAGGTAGATAGATAGATAGATCGATGGATAGATAGATCGATGGATGGATGGATGGATATATGGATGGATATATGGGCAGATATATGGGTGGATATATTGGTGGATGCATGGATTGGTATGTATATATACATATGTATGATTATGTATGTATGTATGTATGTATGTATGCATGCATGTATGTATGTATGCATGTATGTACGTATGTTCGTATGTATGTCTGTCTGTCTGTCTGTATGTGTGTATGCATGTATGCATGTATGTATGCATGCATGTAAGTAATGTAAGTAATGTATGTATTGTATGTAATGTATGTAATGTATGTAATGTATGTAATGTATGTAATGTATGTAATGTATGTAATGTATGTAATGTATGTAATGTATGTAATGTATGTAATGTATGTCATGTATGTAATGTATGTAATGTATGTAATGTATGTAATGTATGTAATGTATGTAATGTATGTAATGCATGTAATGTATGTATGTATGTATGTATGTATGTATGTATGTATGTATGTATGTATGTATGTATGTATGTATGTATGTATGTAATGTATGTAATGTATGTAATTATGTAATGTATGTAATGTATGTAATGTATGTAATGTATGTAATGTATGTAATGTATGTAATGTATGTAATGTATGTAATGTATGTAATGTATGTAATGTATGTAATGTATGTAATGTATGTAATGTATGTAATGTAGTAATGTATGTAATGTATGTAATGTATGTAATGTATGTAATGTATGTAATGTATGTAATGTATGTAATGTATGTAATGTATGTAATGTATGTAATGTATTAATGTATGTAATGTATGTAATGTATGTAATGTATGTAATGTATGTAATGTATGTAATGTATGTAATGTATGTAATGTATGTAATGTATGTAATGTATGTCCGCCGACCCCGGCCTGAGCAAGGGGGAGCGCGCCAGGGAAGAAACAGTTGTAGCAGGTTCGCCGTGATTCTGGGTCTAGTTCTAATAATTGGGGTTTAAGAAGCCATGTCAGGCAGTTTTGTTGGCGGCGAATCTGGCTTTGTCCGTCCTTCACTGCCATAGTGTTTCAGTGTGGCGGAGGGCTGGTTTCTATTTCTATATTTCGAAGGGCTGGTTTTCATTTCTATATTTATATTCTATATTTCTAGTACTATACGGGTGTCAGACGTCACGTTAGGCAGTTTTTGGGTGCGATTTCGTGCCTCGTCCGTGTTTCATTGCCATGGTGTCTTGGTGTGGCGGAGGGCTGTTTTCAGCATCGGATTCAGTACAATGGGAAAAAGTTGGGAAAAGGCTACTTTTCATAGGGTTTCAGAAGGGACGTTAGAAAGTTTTTGGTGCGATTTCGTGGTTTGTCCGTCCTTCCCTGCCATGGTGTTTTGGTGTGGCGGAGGGCTGTTTTCAGCACCGGATTCATTAACGGGTAGAGGTTGGGACATGTTTTTTTTTAATACAGCTTCAGAAGGGACGTTAGAGAGTTTTTTGGTGCGATTTCGTGGCTTGCCCGTACTTCACTGCCATAGTGTTTTGGTTAGCGGCTTCTCCGTCCTTCACTGCCATGGCGTTTTGGTGTGGCGGAAGGCTGTTTTCAGCACCGGATTCAGTACAACGGGAAAAGGTTGGGAAAAGGCTATTTTTTCATTTCGTGGCTTGTCCGTCTATCACTGCAATGGTGTTTTGGTGTGGCGGAGGGCTGTTTTCAGCACCAGAGTCAGTACCACGGGAAAAGGTTGGGAAAAAGTAAAAAAGTATTTTTTAGAGGGTTTCAGAAGGGACGTTAGAGAGTTTTTTGGTGCGATTTCGTGGCGTGTCAGTAATTCACTGCCATGGTGTTTTGGTGTGGCGGAGGGCTGTTTTCAGCACCGGAGTCAGTACAACGGGAACAGGTTGGCAACATGCTATTTTTAATAGGGTTTCAGAAGGGACGTTAGAGAGTTGTTTGGTGCGATTTCGTGGCGTGTCCGTCCTTCACTGCCATGGTGTTTTGGTGTGGCGGAGGGCTGTTTTCAGCACCGGAGTCAGTACAACGGGAAAAGGTTGGGAAAAGGCTACTTTTTATAGGGTTTCAGAAGGGACGTTAGAGAGTTTTTTGGTGCGATTTCGTGGCTTGTCCGTCCTATTCACTGTCATGGTGTTTTGGTGTGGCGGAAAGCTGTTTTCAGCACCAGATTCAATACAAGGGAGAGAGTTGGAAAAAGTTAGTTTTTGTAGGATTGCAGACGTGACGTTAGGGAGTTCTTTGGTGCGATTTCGTGGCTTGTCCGTGCTTCACTGCCATGGTGTGCAACGGGGAAAGAGGTGTTAGGTGCGGTTCGTCCTTCAGGGTCCTGCTGTGTTAGCGTGGCGAAGACGCTGCTTGTATCCGGTTGTGAGGTTCAGAAAGGAGCAGCAGCAGCAGTAGCAGTAGGCAACAAATTTTAGCGAAAAATGTTGTTTTTCTAAGGTTTCAGAACACAGGTAATTCGGTGGTGTTTCAGCCGTCCTTCACTGCCATAGTGTTTCAGTGTGGCGGAGGGCTGGTTTCTATTTCTATATTTCTAAGGGCTGGTTTTCTATTCTACATTTCTAGTACTATACGGGTGTCAGACGTCACGTTAGGCAGTTTTTGGGTGCCATTTCGTGCCTCGTCCGTGTTTCATTGCCATGGTGTTTTGGTGTGGCGGAGGGTTGTTTTCAGCATCGGATTCAGTACAACGGGAAAAAGTTGGGAAAAGGCTACTTTTTATAGAGTTTCAGAAGGGACGTTAGAAAGTTTTTGGTGCGATTTCGTGGTTTGTCCGTCCTTCCCTGCCATGGTGTTTTGGTGTGGCGGAGGGCTGCTTTCAGCACCGGATTCATTAACGGGTAGAGGTTGGGACAGGTTTTTTTTTAAATACAGCTTCAGAAGGGACGTTAGAGAGTTTTTTGGTGCGGTTTCGTGGCTTGTCCGTACTTCACTGCCATAGTGTTTTGGTTAGCGGCTTCTCCGTCCTTCACTGCCATGGTGTTTTGGTGTGGCGGAAGGCTGTTTTCAGCACCGGATTCAGTACAACGGGAAAAGGTTGGAAAAGGCTACTTTTTGATTTCGTGGCTTGTCCGTCTATCACTGCAATGGTGTTTTGGTGTGGCGGAGGGCTGTTTTCAGCACCGGACTCAGTACAACGGGAAAAGGTTGGGAAAAAGTAAAAAAAGTATTTTTTATAGGGTTTCAGAAGGGACGTTAGAGAGTTTTTTGGTGCGATTTCGTGGCGTGTCCGTCCTTCACTGCCATGGTGTTTTGTCTTTCTTTGTCCTCTTCTTTGCGGAACAATGCGTCAAAGTGATATCCTCTCCCTTGTGGCGTTGTATGATTGTAAAATATTGTAAATGTCAAGCTGCAAAGCTTCCTCCTCACATTGTCCATCGCCCGCCCAACTGGACTGATATTCTGTTGCGATCTAGATCTGCCGTGCACAGTCCAAGCGGTCATGCACCGTTATTACACACGCCGATTTGGAAAGATGCCAAAATGCTGGTGCAAGAATTCCAGTATGCGCGGCACATCTCTGTGCGCATCTAGGTATGGGAATATACCTCCTGCATTTGGACCCACTTCGGCCGCCCCAATGTGATGCACCAGATGTTGTCGACATTGAGCAGCAAGCACGCGTCTCTCCACCGGTACACTCTTCAGGCTGCTTGGCAACACGTGCTTCTCACAGAGACAGAGCACAAGTGCATCGATCAAACAATTGTTTGCTCCATGTGAAAGCGCGGCCTGCCGCACAAACCCTTCTGCCTGTAATACCTGCAGCCGACGCGCATCCGTGCTAGACTCATGTGGAACATGTCTGTTGGCCAGCTTACACAGTCGTTGGCTCACGTGCTGACACACAGCTTCGGTCGGTTTGGCCTTTATTTCCGACCAGCCTTCCCACGTTCGCACCCAATCCTGTGCCAAAACTGCTTGTAGACTTTCTGTGTTGCCCAGGTTGGACAACACCATTGCTTTCACTAACTGCACCGCATCATTTTCCGACATAACCTCCGATTGCGGTCTCTCGTCTGCCAGTTCCTGGTCCTTGCCTTGCTTCCAACAGCTCAGCATGGTCAGGGTGAGGTCCTGAAATGCACATTCTCTGCTATGTAGCAGCGGCTGCTGCTGAAATATATACTTTGCTCACACACCGTATTGCCAGTGTGTCTTTGGTGCTCGCTATGAGCTGATCACGATTCCCGTGACACGGAATGCAATGAAACTTTCCCACCTCCCATTCCCCATGCTCTCGGCAAGCTCCGCGACCACACGTGCAACAGCGTGCCACATATTCCTCACTGAGGTCCGGTGAGATATACGCATCTTTGCGGGCAAGACAAATAAAGCAGATCAATTTCTCCACACCACCTCCTTGCAACCGGCCATACCCGGCATTGCTAGGATCTGCGTAGTGCTTCGAGGACGATCCAACTGTGGCTACTCTTCTGCGTGAAACTACTGTTGCACTTCTCCACCTAGACCTTGTGTCCCGGGTGAAACATATTTGGTGCTGACTTATTCCATGGGCTTGCTCCACCGGCCCCCGTCCGAAAGGATGCGACACACACCCTCAACAAGCTTTGGTAACACTTGCCGCGTCAAAGGTAGCAACAGGACTTGACAAGTTACTTCCTGGACAGTGCAATCTAGACACGCTTTTTTTTGCTTACGCGACACATGCTCTTGTCACAAAGCACTGCAAACTTTTTTTCTCCGGATCTTTGTGTTTGGTGTCTCTCCTAGATCTTGCAAGCCTTCGACGGGCACACCCAACTAGCTGACATAGAGGGTGTTTATATGCTATATGATAGGTGTTGGTGTTGTTGAATCGACCTAACACGCACTTGTGCACTTAGTTTTCTGTTGGATGCCTTTTTTCCTGTATGCACATCTTTTTGTTGCTGTTTCTATACCTTGGCAATGATGAGGAACAATATGGCCCTGTCAATGCTTCAGGCTCTGTTTGCATTTTCTCTGGCTTTGGGCATTTGCAAGAATTCGTTCCCACCTGGTAACCTGCGGCTGTACGACCAAAGGCCCTCTGTTGGACACACATAGCCCCTATAAAACGCATAATATCTGCTTCAACTAAAGCCATGATGCTAGCGGCACTGTGCAATTGACAGTGGGATAGGAAAGGCACGCACCACTCCTGCCAACGCGTGAGCACAACGTGTACGCCGACGCATACCTGCGCATACGCCTTGCGTCGACAATAGCTACATACCTGCACACCTGAACCTCCACATGACCCTAGCATTCCAGCACCACGAGTTTGGCTGCCTTCAGCTACCTTGTTGCGGTTTGTTTGGTTGCCATCCGTTTTGACGCGAGATGCACTTGTTTCTGTCGACTTCTGCGCTTGTTCTGGCATGCCACCTGTTTTTAAAGTGCTCAGGTTGCACATACCTGTTTTCAAAGTGCTCAGGCTGCACTCGCGGTGTTTATGTGTGTCCACCGGTACGACACATTTTCGAATTGGAGACATGCTTCAAGCCTGTCGGGGACAAAAGCTTTTACTTTTACACCACTCTTGCCAAATACACTTGCATGCGCATATTCAAGGCCTTGGCTGTATCTTTGGACCTTAGGCTGTTTGAGCACCTGAGAAAAGGGTACGTGCAGCCTGAACACTTTACAAACAAGCTCCACGCCAACAGAATTGCAGAAGTCTACAGAAAAGTTGCATCTCAGGTCAAAGGCGGAAGGCGGTGTCGCAAAGCTCGCGGCTACCTTGCGGACTTGTCTGCTCCTGTCGCACTTACTAGACAGTCTCTCCAACATCTAGAAAGCATGCCTGCGCAGATCGTTACATCCTCTGAACCAGCCAGCCTGATTGCCAGATCGTGCAAATGCAACCCGGTGCGCTTGAGCAGCTCTCTTGCTGCAGCATTAGAAACAGGAATTACAAAGTTGCCACCATGTAGCAATATCTATGACATTGTAAAAGATTCGGGCCGCATGCTTACAGTTCGCTATAATGGATGTGTTCGTGTTCGCGCTATTGTGCTGCCACTATGGTGCATCCATGTGATGTGCGATTCAGCGAGTTTTTCCTCAAAGAACGTCTTCTACACACGTTCAGGCATCTATGACTTCAAACTTGTCACCAGATATCGCAGACCATACGAGTCTTCAAACGGCAAATAGCCTTCTAAACTTCTGTACAAACCACGGCAAACCTCCATGCCCAAGAAGCATCTTGCAGTTGTCGCTTTGAAATTCTACAGGCATCAGCCGGCAGGTCAGACCAATCACCCCACCAAAAAAACAAACACATCGGAAATAATCACACGATGTTAAAAAACAAACACGAGAATCCACGTCTGCCACCACATTTAAACTTGCCCACATTGGCTACCACCAAAGATCGCGCACCAAGTCAAAGCATTGAAACCTGACAGAGCTTCTGTGCCTCTGTACAAGCCATCGAGAAACTCCATCAGCAACAGGACGCTTCCAGTCGCCACTTTGAAATTCTACAAAGGCACAGCAAGTCCGACCCAATCATGTCACCACAGAAAAGCATCTGTACTAAACGATCAAACAATTTTCAATTTTCAACTTGAAAATCAGTAGAAACATGACTCGAAGTGCGACCACGCCAACGAGCTTCAAACTTGTCACCTCCAAAGGCAACAGAACATTGGCCAACAGCCAATGCTCTCACACCATATAGGTCTTCAAACCTATGAAAACCCTTCTGTACCTCTATGCAAGCCATCGCAAAACTCCAGAGGGAACAAGGAGCTTCCAATGCCCGCTTTAAAATTCTACAAGCATCAGCCCATCAGGTCAGACCCTTTCATCCCAACAAATAGAATCATACCTGCTACATCATGAGACAATTGATGCATAGAAACTTAGGACCAACTTACATCCAAGTCTGACCCAAAGCCACCAATACAACGTAGCACTCAGGCTACCGCATCGCTAGAATCGTACACAAATTCTCTAGATCCTTAACGCCCATCTCCTTGGTCATCTTCAGCTTGAACTGTAGAGCTAGCCTCCAAGCCACTCGACGCCTGGAACCTCAACCCTGCCGCAGACATCTTCTGCGCGGTGCCCACCAAATCTGATATCTCTGCAGCAAATAGCCGACCTCAGACGTTACAGCCAGACTGTGTCCCCCAATCGCTTCTATTTAAAATATGAATATCCATTCATGCAAACACCTTGCCCCCAACACCGTCATACTGCCTGCTACCCAGGGTGTCTGAACACATGTATTTATATAGATATTATATATATATGTATACATATGGCATACTACCCAGTGTCCACATATTTTGACATGAATAAGTTTGAATTGATATCCTAGACGTTTGCCGTTTCACTGCCGCAAACATGGATCCTCATACCAACAAGTGCGTAGATACCAGTTGCATATGTATCAAATGATTTTTATTAAGTCCCAACTCGTCTGCTGGCAGGGCACGGCTCTTGCCACTGCCACCCACGACCACGCAACTGCAACAGCTCTGTAGCCAGATCCGCCGCCCGCTTTGCAGGAATCAAATGGGTCATCTGCTCCTCCTTCGCCTCCTTCAACTTTTGGTCTGCTACCTGGATTGCATGGATCGATGACAACATCAATATATCATGAACTACACATGCTCATTGTAGCACGGCTTATCACCATTCACCATCATGGCAGAAGTTGCTCCTTGAAAGTCCTTGCCTTCAAGATCACCCGAGACACATGTGTCCAAAACACTACGTGCCCACCTACCCGCCTGCCGGCTCTGATGTTCTGCTTGAGACAGAAGCGAAATGACACCAATTGGCTCCAATTTCGCAACCAGCTCTCCGATCTTCTGCTCTGCGATGCCATCATGCGTAATCACCTGGGATGACCAAGCGCCAACTACATGTTCGGCCGATCTGGACACACGATTCTCCTAAACACGTTCCGCCAGGACACATGTAACTTCCAGCCACCTCCAAAGGGGACCACTTTGCGAACGCAAGATGTATCAGCTTGAAGCAACGCCGAAACCATGGGGAATGCCGACACACGTGTTGCAGGGCTATTGAGAGCAACGACGATAATCGCCATCACTCCTGCGTTTTCCTTCCTTGATCCAGCTTCAAACTGCATAGCATGAGATTCAACTCCAACGCCCTAATACCTAGGACCTAAGTGTTCCTGCAACAATGCCATATCCACATTCGAAAATCCGGTCTGTGGATATTACACCTCATGACTCCATAGCCATCACTCTTAGGCATATGCAGACATTATCTGTATCATCTGTCCCTGCAACTTCACGCTCTTCACTTCAACGAAAACAAATAGGCCCACATGCAAGCTGTCCCTCTTTACTTACTTTGTCCTGATGCATTCCCTCGAACCCCCCTCTCTTTCAAATAGTCTGTCCTTAACGCACCCAACTCCGCACTCCCTCAGCAGTCTGCAAGACAGCCACGCGGCCCACAAGTTCCTGAGCCAACACGCTTTTTCAGAGAAGTAAGAGTCATCAATCGGACCCTACAGATTCCATCATGATGCTGCAGGACCAACCACATAAGACCGACTCTGAAGACTCAGCAGCACCCAAGACTGCTGATCTCGACCCAACGATACCATCCCTACTATTCTCAGTTGCATGCTGCAAAGTTGTCTCGTGACACATGCCTGGAAAATTACAGGTTACGCATAGCCAGTCGTGCGTGCCTGGCTCAAACTCCTAGACAAACAGCAGAATTGCAAAAAAAACTTCAGGATACTCAATCTGGTCATTGTGCCGGTTTGAAACATGCCAAGTCTATCCAGGTGCAATCCAGGACCTTTCAACTTGACAGATGCTTCAGCAAAGGTTCCCACCACATCAACACTCCTGCACTCCTGTTGTATAATCAACAGCAAACTCTGTGTAATACGCGGCTGTTGAGGTCCCATTGAGAACACAAAACCATCCAAACCGAACATCAACTAACACCCAACATGCCCCTACGATAACCAAAGCCTGCGGTTTGACCCCCTAAATCGAACTCAACATTACCCAAAAACCATATAGCTTGCCAAGATACACTTTATAACAAGCCCAATATACCGACATCACCAAGAATGCTTCTTGACCCCCTATAGATGGCACCCAACACGCAACAGAACCGCATAACACGACTTCAACACCACCCGTTTGGACCACCAATCGGCTCCTGCAAGACGAACGGATGTTTTGATTCCCTACATGAAACCCAACACGGCCCACAACCCCCTCACAACCGGACCTCAATGACAACTGTTTCTTTTTAAAGTCCCATTTTACAAATAACTGCCCACATTTAACCATAACTACCCTCCAAATGGCCCAACATAACCTCAACGTACCCCCAGAATACACCTCAACAACAGCTAGCTGTTGTTGAGGCCATGTTGGAGCCAGTTTTTGACTCATGTTGGGCCTATGTGGAGCCGATATTGGAACTATGTAAGACCTAGGATGAGCCTATGTTGGGCCTATATTGAAGCATGTTGAACAATTTGGAAGGTATCTACGGCTTGTTTTAACCACCTGTGTCGCCCGAAATACACCTCAACAACAGCTACGTGTTGCTGAGGTCATGTTCGAGCCAATTTTTGACTCATGTTGGGCCTATGTGGAGCCGATATTGAAACTATGTAGAGCCCATGTTGGGCCTATATTGAAGCATGCTGTATGTTCACCAATTTGGAAACTATCTTCGGCTTGTTTTTGCCACATTTATCGCTTGAAAAAAATCTCAACAACAGCTAGCTGTCCTGGTCATGTTGGAGCCAATCCTGTTGCCCACTCCTAATAGCTGGGTCCTCCCGCAAAAATATTGAATCACCACTTACAAACCGTATCTGTATATATCCGGGCGACACAGTCGCCATCGTGTCTTTCTTCCACCTATCACAGAGAAATAGCGAAACACACCCTCCTCCCAGAATCATGGTACTAGACACATCACAACATATCTCACCGCCACAGACCACCATGTTTTGTACGCCAAGATGCAACTTTTAATGATGCCACCACATCACCGATCCAGTTTTATCGTCCACAAAGGACTCTCTGTCGTCAGTGGGGGCCCTTCTGTGCCTCTGTACAAGCCATCGTAGACTCCATGAGCAACAGTAAAAATCCCGTCCCCACTTTGAAATTCTACTAGCACCAGCTTAGCGGCCAGACCTCCTCATCCTCAAGGGAACAATCCTAAAGGAATCAACTAGTTCACAGCTAATGATCAAGAATCCATCAAGCCATACATCGAAGTCTGCTCACTGCCCGCTGGCTTGCGCCTTACCTCGACTAAGACACATCAGAGCTCCCACCTACCATCTCAGACCCTCCAAGTCTTAAAAATAAGAACCGGGCCTTCTGTACCGATCTACAGGCCCACCGGCTCAAACCCAATCATCCCACAAAGATCTCCTTCAATGGCTCCAGCACCACATCTAATCCACGCTCCACCAACAATCGCGGAGATCTGCGGGCATACAATGCACCACTCTCCTTCTGTGCCACCTCCACGCCAGAACGCGTAACATAGAATCCTTGCCACCGAGCAAATTCGTCCTTGAGGTAATAGCTGCTCCCGTGGAGGGTGATAATAACTTCCCGCGACGACACAAACTGCGCGCACACTTTCAAGTGCCCCGCATAGCTCGGCCCCACACACTCCAAGGCCTTCTGCAAGTCGGGCTCCAATTGCGTCATCTCCACCTTCAGCCCGCATGCCTCCATCCAATCCTGCAGATTCACATCACAATACTTCAGGACCTGCAACGTCGGGACTGCTGTGGCAAGATCCGGTTGCTGATAACGCCAACTCAAAAACTCCGACATGAAGTACATGGCCGAGGACACGTTGGATGCCACTGTGTAGATTCCAAAACGCCACGGGCTGCTAGTTTTGGCCCGGCAATGTACCTGATCTTCCTGTTCCTCAGTTGTGAGCAAGGCCACTTGTAGGCAGAAAATATAAATCACAACCTCTACTATCCTTTCACACCCAGCACCATTCACCCCTTGCCCTTACAGCCAAAAAACCTCAGTGCCATAGCCACCCCCTGCTTGCAATCAAAAAGCCAACTCATCCAACGTCTTGGAGAAGCCTTCCAGCTTATGGCCCTTCACAAACTCGGGTAGATACTTCGATCCAAGCTGAAACAGCGGCGATGGCCGCCCAGAGTCAGTCAAAGCCAGCAAGTAGCAGGACTCTGACGGATCGAAGCTGCCATTCACATACATAGCTGCATCAGCATATCGATGTACTTGCAGAGTCAACCCATGCGACACCTTCTGACGCTTCTTCGGGCTAAACTTCGGTGCTGCACCGTCAGTCATGGCACAGACAACACAATCAACCTGCACACACCGTCTGACTTGCCTGAGCCCAGACACAACACTGGTGAACACTTCCTCTCACAACCCCAGCACGCTGCTACCAATAGATAAGCCATCCAAAGACATGTTATGCTGGTGAACTGCTCAATTGATTGCCACACCTCAACCCCGTCTTCCGCTTCAAGTCCAAGTCCAAGGAACACAGGACACATCAACCATGAGCTGGTCCAATATCGCAATGCATGTCCTTAATCATGCAGCAAACCCAATATACTGCTAGCCCATTCGATACACATTTACATACATCTATGTCCGATCTCTTCATATACTCAGTGACAGAAACAACGCCATGCATCTACATTTCATATCTTCAGATTGCCATGTTTAAAGCTCGACCCAATAGATCCAACACCAGAGTTAGCAGAGTCATCAGCATGAAGCTGGCCACTGGCGTCTTCGTTGCCGGGAGACACTGGCAGCAGGCCATGGACTGCTGTCATGCTGCGCTGTTTGAATGAAGCGACTTACATCAGCCACAGCACTACCAAAGCTCTGAGATCACCACACCACAAGATATCAAATACCCTTCCGGGGTCGGCGGCAGGGGCGGAGCCCTTTTATAATGTATGTAATGTATATAATGTATGTAATGTATGTAATGTATGTAATGTATGTAATGTATGTAATGTATGTAATGTATGTAATGTATGTAATAAGTGTTATGTATGTTATGTTATGTTATGTTGTGTTGTGTTGTGTTGTGTTATGTTATGTTATGTTATCATGCATGCATGCATGCATGCATGCATGCATGCATGCATGCATGTATGTGTGTACTGTATGTATGTATATGTGTGTGTGTGTGAAAGTACAATGAGAAAATTACACCCCTTTGTGAAGCCAATCCCCGGAAAAGCTCCTGGAGCTCCTGGGATTGCATGAAAGAATCCAGCGCCTGGCGGGTCGATTGCAAGGCTGTCTCGAGAAGTCACAGGACAGGCAGGACAGGCTGTCTCGAGTATCGCGCAGTAATCATGACGGCCCCGCTGTGATTCGCAACTTGTAGGTCCTTCTGTGAACATCGTTGAACATCTGTGGAAATGCCAGCTGAAAAAAGGACCTGTGTTCAATATCATACCGTGCTTCAGCTCTCGCCATACGCCGAAGTCTAGGCAGCGAACACTCCCGGCCAGAGGACATCAGGTGCGATGACCAAATAGTTGGAGTCTGATGGAGTTCTGACCTGGCAGCTTCGCCTTTCTCAAGATGAGCATTCATTCATTCTATGTGATTCTGGAGTTGCATGCAGGATCGCAATAGTATAAATGCCGCAGTACGCCGCGGCCTCTTGCTGGTTGGAGATGTTGAACTCGACAGCTGAAAGTTCTGCCTGCTTTCTATAACCACGGTGGCACGTGAAGGGTTTTCAATGTTATTGCAATATGATCAATATATGATTAGTGTGTACTAGTGAATGACTTTTCAAATCATCCGTGCTTCACCATCTTCCCTCATTTGTCTAAGATCCAGACCCATGCATATTGTTGTACAGCATAGTTTGGATCCACGGATGCCGTCTCCGAGTTGTACTGCGGGTTCAGTCCAAAGCGATAAGCCTTACAAAGTCTTGCCAACTTTTCGGTCTTCAGATCAAATATTTCTGGCATGGGTTTCAGATGGTTTCAGTTCATCAGAGCCACGAAAAGGGACGCTTAGGAGCCACACTGACCAAGCAAAAGAGTAGGTGGTGTCGTTCTGTGGGTTCGTGACCTGTAATGATTGTAATGCATGCACAACTGATCAAAACTGTGTGAATGCGTGGAAACTGCGCGGAGATGTGCGAAACTAAATGACAACAAGATCACAGCACTCGACTCAACACATAATTCGCAGAATTGCATTCCTAGTCAACATTTGTCAACATTTGTCAACGCCTCTCCACGCAATCGAATGGTGGAGCCAGGGAATACTGGCAAAGCCTGAGGACCTGAGTTTATCCGGCCACAAGTGGCCAACAGTGGCCACCAGTGGCCACCAGGTTCAGAGTTCAGTGGAGTTCAGTGGTAGGATGCTGACATTTCCGCGTGCAATCCGACATATCTGACATTATCTGACCCAAGCATCCTAAGCCAAGTGCTGTCCAAGAAGACGGCCAGCAGCGGGTTCCTGCAATTCCGTTGGCTCAGAGTGAATCATGGTCTTTGTCGCTCTTGCCTCCATGAGTCCCAGTTAAAGGTTAGCGGTTTAGCAAGGGGCTTACAAGATCTAACAGCGCATGCACAAGAGTCAGCTTACTCGGCTGACCTCCCTGCATCCACTTCCGAACCAGCCAGCACCGTGACGTAAAGACCTCAAAGGGCTAGCATACGATAGTATATAATAGTATATACACGTCCTGGAAAGAATCCAAACCATCTATGAGTCCATAGGACCCTGCAAACCTGAATGGTGTATTACTATATGTATATTATGAATTATGAATATATATATATAATTATATATATAATTATATATATAATTATATATATACCGGAGTTTGGTGGTTTTGGTGGTCCGTGCGAAACTTTTCTTATTCTTGAAACAGGCTCACCCAGATATTCTGAGATCCACACTGGTTGAAGTCACCCGTTCCACACCACTGATGACTTTGGATGCATTGGTGACCTCCATGTCAACAGCATGCTGGACCATAAGCAAAAGGAAAGGAATACATCAGGAGTCTGAATAAGACATCACACATCTCTCATATAGGTCAGACAACACTGAGCCACTCACAAAAACATAGCTGCCCGGTTCAAAGAGGTTGGGCTGAAAGATCTGCCATCGCCAAATCGTCAGTTGTTTCCATTCATGTGTTTGTTGTGCAACACTGACGCAAATGGCCTAAACCAAATCTATGGCAATCCCCTACAACAGGAACACAGGGCAGGTCTACCAAGGATGTGGTGCTTGCCAGGCAGAACTGATTCACCTGAGTCCAACTTGGGTGACCACTTTGGTGGCCTGCGCAAAATGTTTCCATGATTTTCTACTGCTGCATTCTCTTCGGAAAGTGGACTCTGAGCTCAAGGCATTTGAGTAAGGAGGATAGCTTACTTCTAAGCCGTGATTGTATACCTGGATGGGATCGCAGTGTAATCATCGCCAGCTATGCACGCGCATCCATCCTTGCTACCAGTTTTTGAAATATTCAATCCACAATGCTGCACATCACAGGACGTGAAATGTCCATCCTGTCCTTGTTCCTGTACTCGAACGTCAGAGGTAGTCCAGATTGTGGATCCGACACGGTTGCGCAAGATGATCCCACCTTGCATCAAGTTGCATCAAGTCTATGAGCGGGACTTGCCATCACATGCGCAAAGCCTGTTGTTCCAAAGCAAAGGGTCAACAATGGAGAGGAGGGCAAAGGCCATACTTCGCTGCTTGCCGACAAAACACAATGTGGGGGTTCAATAGCTCTGTATTGCGTTGTTTCATAATGTGGGGATATATACATGCATATAATTATATAACATTATATATGCTGGAGGTTGCAAGAGTCTGTCAGCAGTTGTTTAGTTTTTACGAAGGGGCGCGAAGGGCCGCGAGGTGCATGACGCTGCACTTGCTGCTAGGCTATCCAGCAGCATGGCTAAGCTGTGTGAACTGTCCGCTGAAACCTTGCCTTTTCGTTGCAGTTGTGATCTTCACTTACATTATCTAGAGCTCGCGGCATTTCATATGTTTTTCGCTTTTTGGGAGCACTTCGAGCTAGTTTGTACAGAATGCATCAGAATGCCAATTTGCAGGTGACCAACTCATATCTCACGGAAATTGTCGAAACAAGTCAGCCTGCAAGGCAAGTAAGAAGGTTTTGGAAGTGTAGGTTGCCATCATATATCTTCAAGAACATGATGGGCATTCAACCGAGGGCACAACCAACAAAGTATCAGACGGCCCGTTGCCCTGCCAAAGAAGCTTCGGTCTTGACTGACAGTAGTCACTAGCCTTATCCTACGCTTACTGTAATGGAGCGGCTGACTTGAGGATTGGTGTTGCTCACGGCTCATGCCATCCATGCCTGTGTGGCGAAGCAGGGGTCCGTAGTACCTTAAAAGATCTTGGAAGCGGGATGTCTGGGATGTCTGGGATGTCTGACACAACATGTGTCAGCTGATTGCTTGGCTCCCAAAAGCAAAAGGCTGAGCATGGCTGAGCAGTTCCAAACCAAAATGTGCACTCTGCCATTTTTCAACCCCAGCAGGGCAGGCAGACTCTTCGGCACACGCCCACAAGCACGCACTGTTGGCTGTCCGGCTTTCCAGGACATTCCACCAACAGTGACTATTGCAAGCGCATCACAGCATCTTGATGCGCCCGTGCCGCACCCACAAACCACAAACCTACTCCTACTGACAGAATCTGACACGACCTACCAAGACCTACCAAGCTGTTCAGCCTGGCAACTTGGCAGGGACTCAGCTGTACCGCTCCAATAGTGAGCAGTATGTCGCGGCTTTGCCATTTCTTTCTCGTGACAAGTTGTGGGGCAGTGGCTTTTGGAACTGTGCAACATGTTCCGACTTCTTTCATGTACTCCTATGTGCTCCTATTGAAATGTATCAAGGCAATCGAAGAAACTCTCCGTCTATTCATATCGCTGGGAGTTTTTAGCCAAGGGCCAACGGCCAACCGCATAATTAATATCATAAACTGGAACATTCAGATTCGAAGACATCACCATCACAGCCACCAAACTTGTGCACATGTATGTACGTATAACATGGGTGAACTTTTTGCAATGTCTGCAATAGTCTCATGACTCTCCATTTTTTTTGCCCTTGAGGGACTTCTTGACCCTCTGGCACCATGCGATTCAAATAAGTTGTCATGTTGTCTGATTGAGCAGTGAGCCCAGCATGAGGATTGGCCGGGATGGCACACAACTATCTTCGGGCTTTCGTATCATGTTGTCCAATTTGTCCAACATTCTCAACAAGCAAGCCCGAGCACAATCCCATGTTTGCAAGCTCAGCTCACTTAAAGTACAACCTTGGTTGAATGGCACAGGTGTCACAGGAGTACAGAGGGTTGTGGCTTTTTGATGCCTTTTGCAGCAAGTGTCCGATGCAAGAAATGCCTCTCATCGCCATCTCACGACTATTTACGATGATCTAGCTTTCAGACTGGCAAAGAGCCATCAAGAAATTCCAAGGCATGCGCAAAGCATGCGGGGAGTGCTACATGGAAAGCAAGCTCAGGATGCTCAGTCAGGTAGCTAGGGATTTGCACGTGGCATCACGTGGCGCAGTCGTCCTATGGAGGTGTTTGCCCTGGCTTTAGGACCTGAGATCTTGGCGACGCTGCAGAAAAGCGCCGGACAAAACTAGAATCGTCAAAGCCAGAGGTAGCTGCGCAGCTGCGCAAAGCTGAGAATTCTGAGAATTCTGAGAATGAGGCGGAGAATCCACATTTCAAGTCCGTATCAATGTGGAGAACCTGCAGTCCATAGCTGCCGACCGCATTGCAATTTCACAAGCAACTGTAAGTCATAGTTACTGGTAAGTCTACTCACGTCATTCCCCTATTAAGGTGAAGCCAAATCACGGAAGCGGCATTGTCAAACTCTCCACAGTAGTTCGGAGCTGAAAAGATCGTGACCTTAAACCGACTCGCAGGTCACACAGATTCACAAAGGCTCAAATTGACTCAGACCGATATAGACCGACTCACACACCTCTGGTAGATTCTGGTAGTCTATCTCTCTTTAACATCTTTAACTTTAACTTGTCTTGATTATCACTGATTGCTGCCTAGCATCAAGTCCTCTTTGTGCAAAAAACTCATATCCATCCTCCACCACCTGATCAGGGCGTGACGCATGGAATGACCACGAATAAACAAAGCGGTGAATCGCGCAACGACGACAGAAGTCCCAGGCCTGGTGTGCTCTTACAATCCTCATGCCCAAGCCACATTGATAGTTTCATGCTAACATATGCTAACCATATCTACCAATTACTTGTTCTGCTTTGGGTCAGTTGAGCTAGAGCAGCTAGATTCAGCTTCAGCTAGATGCTCAGATCTATAAAGATCTTTAAGGATCTCTTAAAATCTATGTCCACAGAGATGACCAATGAGCGCTCACATCTAAAACACATCTAAAACTCCTTAACTGAGACTCCAACTGTCATTAACTGTCCAGTCTAAGTGCAGTAGAGGAACAGGTCGAAGTCATGGAGCTTCAAGAATTGGTTGACTGTGTCTACACCGAAGGACACCGACACGCCACGGTCATTCGGTCCAAAGCCGACAGTGTTCTGCCATCAAAAAATGCACCGATTTCGTGGCTGAAATTGCACAAACATATAAAAAATGTGATTACTCATGAAATCTCATGGTGTGATTACTTACATCATTATTACTATTTATTGTTCATGGTAAACTAAAACAATCACCAAATTTCATCAAATTTCCACAAGGACACAGCCATTTCAACCGATTGCTTTGGGAATATTGAGAGTTGACGCTGCTCCTGCTCCGGCCACATGAGAATCGCTCAAAGAGAGGACCATTTGACCAGTGACCGACGCCCATCATCACTGCACGTGTCACAAGGGTTAATGTCCTAAGCTGAGCCTCAGATGGATCTGACCAAAGCAGGTCGCAAAGGAATCCTTGGTCTGGAATGTCGGCCGGCCTCACAGTGAGGCAAATGTGCATAAAGCATCATAAAGCTAAATAAAGCTACATAAATGTGACTAAATTTGGTCAAAGTGATTGCAAATTCCACCGCCTCTGCATAGCATTGATCTTGTTCCGCAAGTCCACGTTTGCATCCATCATATCTTGTGAGAGTCCACCATGCATGCAAATCACCTGCATTCAGCAGAATCTGGCAGATTCCAAACCCCTCGCAAGAATCTGCACTGGGAATCCATCTTATATAATTCATAATTGACGTGCCTTGTCTGCAATGAGGGCACAGGCTGGCATGTAATTGAACACATCACCTTCGGTCAAGGGCATCTGCAAGTGTAAGATACAGCAAGCATGTCAAAATGGTGCTATGGAGAAGCATGGGGATCTAATTATGGGAAACATAAATCACGGGATGCTGGTGTGGTCATGAAGTTTCGAACTTGAATGCAAACTAACTTAAGTCAACTGAGGGCCGCCGCTGGGCTCATGGTCTGAGACAAGTCACAAAAAGTTTTCCAAGTCTTGATGCTGTAGCGCGACTTGCACTCATCGTAGAATCCGTATATCCTTCGCCACCGCGGGGAAAGCTCAAGCAGACCAGGGTGCTTCGAAGAGTATGTATGTATGTATGTATGTATGTATGTATGTATGTATGTATGTATGTAGGTAGGTAGGTAGGTATGTATGTAGGTATGTATGTGTAGTATGTATGTATGTATGTATGTGTGTAGGTATGTATGTAGGTATGTAGGTACAGTAGGTATGTAGGTATGTAGGTATGTAGGTATGTAGGTATGTAGGTATGTAGGTAGGTAGGTAGGTAGGTAGGCATGCATGCATACATGCATGGATGTATGCATGCATGAATGCATGTACGTAAGTACGTACGTAGGTAGGTATGTATGTAGGTACGTACGTACGTACGTATGTATGTAATTGTATGTATAATATAATAAAATGGGATGCAATAAAATGGAATGTAATAAAATGGAATGTAATAAAATGAAATGTAATAAAATGGAATGTAACAAAACGGAATGTAATAGAATGTAATGGAATGTAATCGAATGTAATGGAATGTAATGGAATGTAATGGAATGTAATCGAATGTAATGGAATGTAATGGAATGTAATGGAATTTA